ATTTGGCCTATTAAAAATCTGGAAAAATTCACATAGACTAATTCAATGTCGAAATGAACGAATCCTTGGTGGAAATCGGATAATTTTGAAAAATAGAGACGTAGTAGCCTACCGGAGTGCTTCTATTGGCAATAAAAGCGAAAAGTTGACTTTGAGCGTCGATATCTCGAAAACTATTTGTCCTATCGGGCTGATTATGGTCTCATTCGATTCAGCGTGTCATTTTCTACTGGAAAAAGCGATAATTCGCGTGGATTTTCGAAGTTTTCTGGCAGTTTCGGCCGTCCGAAGATGGCTCGGTGACTTTATCGTATGGAAGTCTTAGGTGAGAAAATGAAAATTTTTATTTGGCCTATTAAAAATCTGAAAAAATTCACATAGACTAATCCAATGTCGAAATGAACGAATCCGTGGTGGAAATCGGGTAATTTTGAAAAATAGAGACGTAGTAGCCTACCGGAGTGCTTCTATTGGCAATAAAAGCGAAAAGTTGATTTTGAGCGTCGATATCTCAAAAACTATCTGTCCTATCGGCCTGATTATGGTCTCATTCGATTCAGCGTGTCATTTTCTACTGGAAAAGCGATAATTCGCGCGGATTTTCGCCGTTTCCTGGCACTTTCGGCCGTCCGAAGATGGCTCGGTGACTTTATCGTATGGAAGTCTTAGGTGAGAAAATGAAAATTTTTATTTGGCCTATTAAAAATCTGAAAAAATTCACATAGACTAATTCAATGTCGAAATGAACGAATCCGTGGTGGAAATCGGATAATTTTGAAAAATAGAGACGTAGTAGCCTACCGGAGTGCTTCTATTGGCAATAAAAGCGAAAAGTTGACTTTGAGCGTCGATATCTCGAAAACTATTTGTCCTATCGGGCTGATTATGGTCTCATTCGATTCAGCGTGTCATTTTCTACTGGAAAAGCGATAATTCGCGTGGATTTTCGCCGTTTTCTGGCACTTTCGGCCGTCCGAAGATGGCTCGGTGACTTTATCGTATGGAAGTCTTATGTGAGAAAATGAAAATTTTTATTTGGCCTATTAAAAATCTGGAAAAATTCACATAGACTAATTCAATGTCGAAATGAACGAATCCTTGGTGGAAATCGGATAATTTTGAAAAATAGAGACGTAGTAGCCTACCGGAGTGCTTCTATTGGCAATAAAAGCGAAAAGTTGACTTTGAGCGTCGATATCTCGAAAACTATTTGTCCTATCGGGCTGATTATGGTCTCATTCGATTCAGCGTGTCATTTTCTACTGGAAAAGCGATAATTCGCGTGGATTTTCGAAGTTTTCTGGCAGTTTCGGCCGTCCGAAGATGGCTCGGTGACTTTATCGTATGGAAGTCTTAGGTGAGAAAATGAAAATTTTTATTTGGCCTATTAAAAATCTGAAAAAATTCACATAGACTAATCCAATGTCGAAATGAACGAATCCGTGGTGGAAATCGGGTAATTTTGAAAAATAGAGACGTAGTAGCCTACCGGAGTGCTTCTATTGGCAATAAAAGCGAAAAGTTGATTTTGAGCGTCGATATCTCAAAAACTATCTGTCCTATCGGCCTGATTATGGTCTCATTCGATTCAGCGTGTCATTTTCTACTGGAAAAGCGATAATTCGCGCGGATTTTCGCCGTTTCCTGGCACTTTCGGCCGTCCGAAGATGGCTCGGTGACTTTATCGTATGGAAGTCTTAGGTGAGAAAATGAAAATTTTTATTTGGCCTATTAAAAATCTGAAAAAATTCACATAGACTAATTCAATGTCGAAATGAACGAATCCGTGGTGGAAATCGGATAATTTTGAAAAATAGAGACGTAGTAGCCTACCGGAGTGCTTCTATTGGCAATAAAAGCGAAAAGTTGACTTTGAGCGTCGATATCTCGAAAACTATTTGTCCTATCGGGCTGATTATGGTCTCATTCGATTCAGCGTGTCATTTTCTACTGGAAAAAGCGATAATTCGCGTGGATTTTCGCCGTTTTCTGGCACTTTCGGCCGTCCGAAGATGGCTCGGTGACTTTATCGTATGGAAGTCTTAGGTGAGAAAATGAAAATTTTTATTTGGCCTATTAAAAATCTGGAAAAATTCACATAGACTAATTCAATGTCGAAATGAACGAATCCTTGGTGGAAATCGGATAATTATGAAAAATAGAGACGTAGTAGCCTACCGGAGTGCTTCTATTGGCAATAAAAGCGAAAAGTTGACTTTGAGCGTCGATATCTCGAAAACTATTTGTCCTATCGGGCTGATTATGGTCTCATTCGATTCAGCGTGTCATTTTCTACTGGAAAAGCGATAATTCGCGTGGATTTTCGAAGTTTTCTGGCAGTTTCGGCCGTCCGAAGATGGCTCGGTGACTTTATCGTATGGATGTCTTAGGTGAGAAAATGAAAATTTTTATTTGGCCTATTAAAAATCTGAAAAAATTCACATAGACTAATCCAATGTCGAAATGAACGAATCCGTGGTGGAAATCGGGTAATTTTGAAAAATAGAGACGTAGTAGCCTACCGGAGTGCTTCTATTGGCAATAAAAGCGAAAAGTTGATTTTGAGCGTCGATATCTCAAAAACTATTTGTCCTATCGGCCTGATTATGGTCTCATTCGATTCAGCGTGTCATTTTCTACTGGAAAAGCGATAATTCGCGTGGATTTTCGCCGTTTCCTGGCACTTTCGGCCGTCCGAAGATGGCTCGGTGACTTTATCGTATGGAAGTCTTAGGTGAGAAAATGAAAATTTTTATTTGGCCTATTAAAAATCTGAAAAAATTCACATAGACTAATTCAATGTCGAAATGAACGAATCCGTGGTGGAAATCGGATAATTTTGAAAAATAGAGACGTAGTAGCCTACCGGAGTGCTTCTATTGGAAATAAAAGCGAAAAGTTGACTTTGAGCGTCGATATCTCAAAAACTATCTGTCCTATCGGGCTGATTATGGTCTCATTCGATTCAGCGTGTCATTTTCTACTGAAAAAGCGATAATTCGCGTGGATTTTCGCCGTTTTCTGGCACTTTCGGCCGTCCGAAGATGGCTCGGTGACTTTATCGTATGGAAGTCTTAGGCGAGAAAATGAAAATTTTTATTTGGCCTATTAAGAATCTGAAAAAATTCACATTGACTAATTCAATGTCGAAATGAACGAATCCGTGGTGGAAATCGGGGTAATTTTGAAAAATAGAGACGTAGTAGCCTACCGGAGTGCTTCTATTGGCAATAAAAGCGAAAAGTTGACTTTGAGCGTCGATATCTCTAAAACTATCTGTCATATCGGGCTGATTATGGCCTCATTCGATTCAGCGTGTCATTTTCTACTGGAAAAGCGATAATTCGCGTGGATTTTCGCCGTTTTCTGGCACTTTCGGCCGTCCGAAGATGGCTCGGTGACTTTAGCGTATGGAAGTCTTAGGTGAGAAAATGAAAATTTTTATTTGGCCTATTAAAAATCTGAAAAAAATCACATAGACTAATTCAATGTCGAAATGAACGAATCCGTGGTGGAAATCGGATAATTTTGAACCGGAGTGCTTCTATTGGAAATAAAAGCGAAAAGTTGACTTTGAGCGTCGATATCTCAAAAACTATTTGTCCTATCGGGCTGATTATGGTCTCATTCGATTCAGCGTGTCATTTTCTACTGGAAAAGCGATATTTCGCGTGGATTTTCGCCGTTTTCTGGCACTTTCGGCCGTCCGAAAATGGCTCGGTGACTTTATCGTATGGAAGTCTTAGGTGAGAAAATGAAAATATTTATTTGGCCTATTAAAAATCTGAAAAAATCCACATAGACTAATTCAATGTCGAAATGAACGAATCCGTGGTGGAAATCGGGTAATTTTGAAAAACAGAGACGTAGTAGCCTACCGGAGTGCTTCTATTGGCAATAAAAGCGAAAAGTTGACTTTGAGCGTCGATATCTCAAAAACTATCTGTCCTATCGGGCTGATCATGGTCTCATTCGAATCAGCGTGTCAGTTTCTACTAGAAAAGCGATAATTCGCGTGGATATCTGCCGTTTTCTGGCACTTTCGACCGTCCGAAGATGGCTCGGTGTATTTATCGTATGGAAGTCTTAGGTGAGAAAATGAAAATTTTTTTTGGCCTATTAAAAATCTGAAAAAGTTCACATAGACTAATTCAATATCGAAATGAACGAATCCGTGGTGGAAATCGGATAATTTTGAAAAATAGAGACGTAGTAGCCTACCGGAGTGCTTCTATTGGCAATAAAAGCGAAAAGTTGACTTTGAGCGTCGATATCTCAAAAACTATCTGTCCTATCGGGCTGATTATGGTCTCATTCGATTCAGCGTGTCATTTTCTACTGGAAAAGCGATAATTCGCGTGGATTTTCGCCGTTTTCTGGCACTTTCGGCCGTCCGAAGATGGCTCGGAGACTATATCGTACTGAAGTCTTGGGTGGGAAAATGAAAATTTTCATTTGGCCTGATGAAAATCTGAAAAAAATCACATAGACTAAATCGATGTCGTAAAGAACGAATCCGTGGTGGAAATCGACAAATTTTGGGAAATGGAGACGTAGTAGCCTACCGGAGTGCTATTATTGGCAATAAAAGCGAAAATCTGACTTTGAGCGCCGATATCTCGAAAATTATCTGTTTTATCGGGCTGATCATGGTCTCATTCGATTCAGCGTGTCATTTTCTACTAGAAAAGCGATAACTCGCGTGGATTTCTCAGTCTCAGTCATAGGTGGGAAAATGAAATTTCTTATTTGCCTATTATAAATCTGAAAAAATCCACATAGACTTATTCAATGTCGTAATGAACGAATCTGTGGTGAAAATCGACTAATTTTTGGAAATTGGGACGTAGTAGCCTACCGGAGTGCTCCTATTGGCAATAAAAGCGAAAAGCTGACTTTTCGCCGATATCTTTTTTTCCCGTCTCAGAAAAAATGTTATTATAACTATGGTTGATTTTATCATTATTATTAACAAAATGATTCGAACGCCATCTGCCCAGGTCCTTTTGCGTTACGAGGACGGCTATCAATACCAAAACATCTTCGGGCCGTTAGTGAAACTCGAAGCGGACTACGACAAGCGGCTGAAGGAGTCGCAGACGCAAGAAAACATCGAAGTGCGATGGGACGTGGGCCTCAACAAGAAGACCATCGCCTATTTCACCTTGGCCAAGACCGATGGGGACATGAAGCTGATGCACGGGGACGAGTTGCGTTTGAGGTAAACGTTTATAGGGGTCGGGTTTTCAAACAAACACTCGGTAGGAAACTCGTTATGATTTATCCAAACACTGATATAACTCGAAAATAGTAGATTGTTTTATTAGGAAAGTGACACTTTGTTTGACAAGCGAATTTGGCATTTGCGGAGCGGAGCTTTTAGCATATCTCTGTAATCATTCTTGCTAGACCCCAAGTGTGATGCTTCAATGAAATCATCTCACAAAGGAGTATCCGAAAATGCAACGAAACACAGAGTGTCCCATGAGAAAAAGTATAACTTTGATGTCACGCAATTTCGAGTCACCCTGTATAACGCGAAATAGTTTGGAAATCTGCTGCTCATGCGCCTTGACCATCACAAAAATTTTTGATCATCTATTTCAAACAGCGAAGCCGTTATCTCACTTTCCCATTTCAATGACTCACCCCACCCCGTATATCTGATATATAAAATTCACCTGTTCATGTCACTGTGTTTGACTCCAAACTCCCCCGAAACGGCTTGGCCGATTCTTATGAAAATTTTTGTGCATATTCGGTGTGTTTGAGAATCAGTCGTAAATTATTTTTCAAATTGAAAATTCAAGATGGCAGATCCAATATGGCTGACGAGTTTTGTTATCCGATTTTATTCAAAATTGGTATCTGGGGGTTTTCGGGGTCGGAGATTGTGATTCTTTCGTGAAAATTTGGAAATTTAAGTTGACGGATCCAATATGGCGGACGAGCTTTGTAATTATTTTCCGATTCTATTCAAAATTGGTATCTGGGGGTTTTCGGGGTCTGAGATTATGATGGCTTCGTCAAAATTGGGAAATTCAGAATGGCGGGTCCAATATGGTGGACGAGTTTTTTAATTGTGATCAGATTCTATTCAAAATTGGTATCTGGCGGTTTTTGGGGTGGGAGATTAGGATTCGTTCATCAAAATTTTGAAATTCTAGATGGCAGATCCAATAGTTGTAATGTTTTATTTACTAGTAGATCGACTTCTCAGTATAACAAAACAGCCAATGCCTATTTTTTTCTCAATTCTAGATATGTGGGAGAGATGCACAAGTCGTGGGCTGGAGTGGGGCACGTTATAAAAGTGCCGGATAATTACGGCGAAGATATCGGCATAGAATTGAAGAACGGCTCCGGAGCACCTAGTGAATGTAGCAGTAATTTCGTCGTGGATTTCATATGGAAGAGTACCAGTTTCGACAGGTAAAATCAATAAAAAAAATAGGAGCCACTTTGTTTAATTATTCAATTCCATTCGAATCATTACCGATTTGATTATTTGAAATGTATTATAATTTCTTTTCCTTTCAAAAAAATTTATGATTGTATTAATGTTATTGTTATGTTGTATCATATCGCAAATATAAACAACAATTTGCCTTGGAATTATAAAGATCATCTTCTAATTTTCTCGCGTTTCCAGGATGCAACTGGCCCTCCGGAAATTCGCCGTCGACGATACTTCGGTGTCCCCCTACATCTACCACCGCCTTTTGGGCCACGAAGTCGAGGAGGTGCTCTTCCGCTGTCACCTGCCCAAACACTTTTCGGCGCCCAATTTGCCCGATCTCAACAGGTATAAACTGTGTATCTCCGTTCATTTTATTGTGTTTAGTACTTGTACTACTACTATATAATAGTTTCGTACTTGTATTAACCTATATCTATCAAGCATCGAACATATTGGTCCTTCGAGCCGGATCTATTCAAATCAAAACTTCAAGATTTCCAAGTTATTTACAAAGAATACAGAGCAGCACTCACGACTATCTGGAGTAACAGTGGATGCCAAGCAGCTGGAGCTTCCACAGGCAGTTCAAGCGAACATATTGGATTTAGAACGGTTAAACCGATTCGGCTGAAAATTGGTAGGGAGGTAGCTTAGAGCCAGAAGACGGCTATCGGATACTTTTTACCCGGCATATTCAAGATATCGGATCCAATATGGCGGATTTCCTGATAATGATCCGATTCAATTCGAAATTGGTATCTGGGGGTTTTCGAGATCCGAGATTATGGTTTATTAATAAAAATTGGTAAATTCAAAATGGCGGATCCAATATGGCGGATGAGCTTTGTGATGCGATATACGATGATACGATTTCATTCAAATTTTATATCTGGGGGTTTTTGCGATCGTAGATTATGATTATTTTGTCGAAATTTAGAAATTCGGGCAGAATTTTGGAAGTTTGAGATGGCTGAACCAATATGGCGGACGAGGTTTGTAATAATTATTATGATCCGATTCTATTTAAAATTTGTATCTAGGGGTTTTCATGATCAGGGATTAGGATTCCTTCGTCAAAATTAGGTAATTCAAGTTGGCGGACGAGCTTTGTCATTATAATCCGATTCTATTAAACATTTTCATCTGGGGTTCAATGAGTCGGATATTATGATTCTTTCGTCGAAATTGGGAAATTTAATTAAACATAAAAGGAGTAGAAAATAAATGGTTGTTTGAAAAACTAAAGAGACACTCTTTTATAGATAGCCAAACTCAAAAGAAGTAGAAAATAAAATGATAATGGTGTGTAGATGAATATTCAACTGAAAAAATATTTACGTTTGTAGGATCAGCTCGACTTTTTTTCTTTTGTCCCTCCATGAACAGTTATATTCCTTGGCATCAATAATAATTATTAATCAATCAATCAATGAATCGATCAGGTCGCAAGTATACGCCGTGAAGCACGCTCTGCAGCGCCCTCTATCGCTGATTCAAGGTCCGCCTGGCACCGGCAAAACTGTCACTTCGGCCACCATCGTGTACCAGCTGGTAAAGCAAAATGGCGGACCTGTTTTGGTGTGCGCGCCGAGTAATACGGCCGTGGATCAGTTGACCGAGAAGATACACAAGACCAATCTGAAGGTGAGTTTCAGAAGTGGACATTGTTTTTCATTCTATACTGTATACTAACCTGAGGTATCACCATTATCCAACTAATAATGAAGAAATTTAACTTAGGTACCGATGCAACCGATGAAAAATTAAACATATTCAGTATTTATCCAAACTTGAACAAAATATAGCTGAGACAGCGAGATTCAAGACAACTGAAAGCAATCTTTGACGTTGAGGAACATTTTTTTTGTAATCGACAAGTTATCACTAGTTGGATAGTCTTTAGAAATCAGTTGAGACCTCCAGACTAAACAACGATAGATATATACCGCGATACATTTTCGTAAATCATTGAAAAGTATATGCCAACAAGTCTAAACGCCAAACACAAATGAATGAATAAAATCGCGAATGGTGGGGATAATAACAGACACTTGAACATTTGCTGGTGTGTGCTCAGGATAAATAACGAAAGAGAAACACGGCGATTCATTCATAAATCATTAAAATCGTACGCCAACAATACTAAACGCCAAACACGGATAAATGAATGAAATCGCGAATGGTGGGGATAATAACAGACACTGATTTGCCGGCATGTGACCAGGTTAAAATTTTTTTCGGTGGTCTCAACAGACTTTGCAAAGAATTTATTTTCCCGGAATCGAAACTGTTTCATAAAGTTGACTTCGCCGTTTCAGGTGTTTGCCAAAAGATGTGGACATGTCTTTGCGTGTCCGATCGACGAAACTTTTTTTTTTCCTTTCAGGTGGTCAGGTTGTGCGCCAAATCAAGGGAGGCCATCGATTCTCCCGTTAGTTTTCTCGCTCTCCACAACCAGATCAGAAAAATGGAGACCAACACGGAGCTGCAGAAGCTGCAGCAGCTGAAAGACGAGACTGGGGAGTTGAGTTCCGTGGACGAAAAGAGGTAAAACTCGACAGAGAAATAAAAAAGACCGAGTAAGCAATGACATATGGATGTTTCAGGTATAGGATGCTGAAGAAGATGGCGGAAAAGGAGCTGTTGGAGGCTGCCGACGTCATTTGTTGTACTTGTGTGGGAGCGGGGGATCCGAGACTGGTCAGGTTAAAGTTTCATTCGATATTGATCGATGAAAGTATGCAAGTGAGTAGAACTGAAAATTGAAAATGATTCGGCCGAGACGAGCACCGAAACAAGCTAAATACATTAGCATTTTCGGGGAGCAACTCAAAGAAACTAATGTTAAATGTAACGAGGTATCGAGGTGCATTTTGATAATGTTGAACATTAGCTTGTTCAGAGTGTATCTTGAAGTTGACCTTCAAGGTCCAGCTCGAAGCTAAAATTTACCGAAACAATGTGTACCTAGGAAAACTTATGTTCAACTTTGAGATGTATATTGAAAGAGCTAAAGTTGAACTGCTATTGTGAGTGAGAGATTAGCACTCTGATGAAGCCTATGTTATAGACACAAGGTCCTTCCAAGAAGTAGGGTTTAAAGGAACTACAAAAGATCTAATGAACAAGTCAAGGTTATCTTGAAGGAGCTAATGCTTGCAATGCAGCTAATGTTAAGCTCATGGAAGGTGCACCTTAAAGAAGCTAATGCTCATAGTGTTCACTAACATTAGCTAAAGTTTATGAACTGCAAGGTCTAGCTCGAAGCTAAAATTTACCGAAACAATGTGTACCTAGGGAAGCTTATGTTCAACTTTGAGATGTATATTGAAAGAGCTAAAGTTGAACGGCTATTGTGAGTGAGTGTTTAGCACTCTGATGAAGCTAATGTTATAGAAACAAGGTCTCCAAGAAGTTGATTTTCTAGGAACTACAAAAGATCTAATGAACAAGTCAAGGTTATCTTGTAGGAGCTAAGTGCAGCTAATGTTTAGCACATAGAATGTGCACCTTGAAGAAGCTAATGCTCATAGTGTTCACTAAAATCAGCTAAAGTTTATGAACTGCAAGGTCTAGCTCGATGCTGAAATTTACCGAAACAATGTGTACAGGGTGATTCACCATAAATGCCCCCCCCCTCTAACTCACTCATTTTTGAACCGATTTGAAAATTTGAAAAATAATCTGGAATGATTTTTCAGAATTTTTTTTCCGTTGCAGCAGAAAATACAGGGTGCTCGGAACTACTACAGAGTACTACTTGATTTTTTAAATGGAACACCCTGTATTTCTCTGAATTTTTAGATTCTTCCTAAAGAGCTGATTTCATCAATACATCACACTTGGGGTCTAGCGGGAATGTTTACAGAGATATAGGGTGTTCAGAATCGAGGTTTTTCAAACTTTAGGATTTTTTTCTGTCGAAACTATTCACCATTGGTCAAAACGATTGTCATGTCCCCATCTCAACTTTTGATTTACTATCTAGTGACATTTAATTGGAACATTTACAGGGTGGTTCAAGATTCAGAATTCTGATCACCCTGTATCTGCTCCAATTAATAAATGTCAGTAGATAGTAAATCAAAAGTTGTGGTACGGATATGGAAGCCGTTTCGGCCGATAATGAATAGTTTCGTCACAAAAAAATCCTAAAGTTGAAAAATCTCAATTTTGAACACCCTATATCTCTGCAATCATTCCCGCTTGACCCCGAGTGTGATACATCGATCAAATCAGCTCTTTATGGAGAATATAAAAATACAATGAAAAATAGGGTGTTCCATTTAAAAAAATCAAATAGTACCCTGTAGATCGTTTGTTCCGAGCACCCTGTATCTTCTGATGTGACAGAAAAAAACTTTATCGAAAATCATTTGAGATGATATTTCAAATTTTGAAATCGTTTCAAAAATAACTGAGCTAGAGGGGGCGACATTTATGGTGAATCACCCTGTACCTTGGGAAGCTTCTGTTCAACTATGAGATGTATATTGAAAGAGGTAAAGTTGAACGGCTATAGTGAGTGAGTGATTAGCACTCTGATGGAGCTAATGTTTCAGAAACAAGGTCCCCCCCAAGAAGTAGGTACTCAAGGAACTATACAAAAGACCTAATGAACAAGTCAAGGTTATCTTGAAGGAGCTAATGCTTGCAATGCAGCTAAGGTTTAGCTCATAGGAGCTGCACCTTGAAGAAACTAATGCTCATAGTGTTCACGAAAATCAGCTAAAGTTTATGAACTTCCAGGTCTAGCTCGAAGCTAAAATTTACCAAAACAATCTGTACCTAGGAAAACTTATGTTCAACTTTGAGATGTATATTGAAAGAGCTAAAGTTGAACTGCTATTGTGAGTGAGTGATTAGCACTCTGATGAAGCTAATGTTTCAGAAACAAGGTCCCCCCCAAGAAGTAGGTACTCAAGGAACTACAAAAGAGCTAATGAACAAGTCAAGGTTATCTTGAAGGAGCTAATGCTTGCAATGCAGCTAAGGCTTAGCTCATAGCAGCTGCACCTTGAAGAAACTAATGCTCATAGTATTCACTAAAATCAGCTAAAGTTTATGTACTGCAAGGTCAAGCTGGAAGCTAAAATTTACCGAAGTCTAGCTCGAAGCTAAAATTTATCGAAACAATGTGTACCTAGGGAAGTTTATGTTCAACTTTGGGATGTATATTGAAAGAGCTAAAGTTGAACGGCTATTGTGAGTGAGTGTTTAGCACTCTGATGAAGCTAATGTTATAGAAACAAGGTCTCCAAGAAGTTGATTTTCAAGGAACTACAAAAGATCTAATGAACAAGTCAAGGTTATCTTGGAGGAGCTAAGTGTAGCTAATGTTTAGCTCATAGAAGGTGCACCTTGAAGAAGCTAATGCTCAGCGCGTTCACGAAAATCAGCTAAAGTTTACCTTCAACAAAATGCACCTCAAAAGAGCTAATGACAAATCGTGTAGGAAATGAGGAAAACAATCTTGTTGTAGGCGACCGAGCCCGAATGCATGGTCCCGGTAGTTCTAGGAGTCAAACAGCTCATTCTGGTCGGCGACCATTGCCAATTGGGCCCTGTGGTGATGTGCAAGAAGGCTGCTCGAGCCGGCCTGTCGCAGAGCCTGTTCGAAAGGCTCGTCGTGCTAGGCATCAGGCCGTTTAGGCTCGAGGTGCAATACCGGATGCACCCCGAATTGTCGCGGTTCCCGTCGAATTTCTTCTATGAGGGCAGTTTGCAGAACGGGGTGAGACAATAAGTGAAAAGGATGATTTGTAATCACGCTTTCATTAGCTTGATATGTATTTTTGTAATGTAATCTTTGACCCACTTCAATACGTCAAATTGAATTGAAACTCCAGACTCTCTCATCAAGGACCGATGCCAGTAACATAATTCAATAGTTTTCAGGATGAGCGATTTTTTTTCGTTAATGAAATGATGAATGATGGTCCGCCACCAAAATTCCAAAATGTTCCTTCGCCAAAAGTTTAAATGTTCGTTTCTAGTCCTTGGAATGAATGTTTACCTCCGGAGATGGCAGTGTCTTCCATCAAGTACTCCAAAACGTCGAAGTTGATTGAAACTTCGCACCCTTATCAAGTACCGATGACAGTAGCATAATTAAACAGTTTTGTTCTCCATTATCCTGATCAGGATCTTCAGGATGAGCGATTTGTTGATTCCAATAAAATGGTGTATGAAGTTCCGCCACCACAATTTCAAATGTTCCGCCACCAAAAATTTGAATGTTACGCTATCAAAATTTCGAATGTTGATTGTTATTCCTTCTAATAACTTTTTACATCCAGTGACACGGCACTGTCTTGCACCAAGTACTACACACACTGGCACAATTAGGGGAACGGGTAAAATTTACACTAAGTTTGACATCAATTTTCTCTCGAACCGATCACTCGATTCAAATTTGTTTTTCACGAATTGTAGCTCCATTCTTCACGAATACATCTGAGAAATAACCACCTCCAAACGATTCGTTTTCATATCATATACAGGGGTGTAAAGAAAGTACGGATTTTTCGGTATTCTTTAAGACATCCTGTGGAGTGAACCACTGATTATTGAAACGATTCTCCAACATCAAATTATAGCCCAATCTATCCCGAATATTTCCGTTTTTCATTCATCTTGATATCCCAATTATCCCAGAAAATATAGAGTTTCAAAGAAGAGGTGGATATTGGTATTAATTCTACCACCTCAAAACTCGAACTGGGGAGAACGTGTCGTTTTTCAACTTGTTTCTGTGAGGATTTTTACTTCAAGATGAGAATTGTTCACAGTTTCACCTATCGGTTTACTGTTTAAAGACACATATACGAATACTCTCATGAATATGCAGGGGTGATAAAAGTTGATCCAATGTTCTTTTGGTGAAATGCTATTTTTGTTAATCAACGTTGGCTACTTTGTTAATGTCATTAATTATTGTCAAAGTCAAGCGATTCACAATTCATAAATTTGATTAATGAAAATTCAACGTGAGAGATTTGACTACTACTGATGTGGCGAGGGCTGTAGCATTAATTGAAAATGACCAGTGGGCCAATGTTCTTTTAACATATGAGAGCCGCATATGCACCAATTCAATAGATGGCAGGGAAAGACTATATCGCCGAGGTGAACGAAATGAACAATTTGATTTTACTGCTTCTGTGTCCTATGGCAGAGGTTTAGTCATGGTTAGGTTAGGTTAGTCAAGACACATTTTCAGATCCAATTTGAGTTTTGAGGTGTAAAATTGATACCAATATCCACCTTTTCTTTGAAGCTCTGTATTTTCTTGAATAATTGAGATATCAAGATGAATTAAAAACGGAAATATTCGGAATAGATTGGGCTCCAATTTGGTGTTGAGAAATCGTTTCAATCATCAGTGGTTCAGTCCACAGGATGTCTAAAAAAATACCGAAAAATCCGTACTTTCTTTACACCCCTGTGTATGATGGAAAGACTCATCGTTTGAAGGTAATTATTTGTCAGATGTATTCGTGAAGAATGAAGCTACATTTCGTGAAGAAAATAATTTGAATCAAGCGATCGGTTCGAAAGAAAATTGATGTCAAACTTAGTGTAAATTTTGCCCGTTCCCCTAATTGTGCCAGTGTGTGTAGTATGAATAGTTACATCCACAGAGACGGGTGATTTTAACCCATTAACTTGATATGTTATTTTGTAATGTAATCATTGAACGAAATTTTGACCCGCTTCAAAACCTCAAATTGAATTGAAACTTCAGACACTCTCATCAAGGACCGATGCCAGTAACACGATTCAATAGTTTTGTTCCATTATCCTGATCAGGATTTTTTCAGGATGAGCGATGTTTTTCCTTCAATAAATAGTGAATGATCTTCCGCCACCAATATTTCAAAATGTTCCTTCACTAAAATTTTAAATGTTCGTTTCTATTCCTTGGAAAAAATGTTTACCTCCAGAAACGACAGTGTCTTCCATCAAGTACTCGTGTGAATAGTTACATCCAGAGAGACGGGTGATGTTGACTCACTCCAAAACGTCGAAGTTGATAGAAACTTCGCATACTTATCAAGGACCGATGACAATAGTTTTGTTCTCCATTATTCTGATCAGGATCTTCAGGATGAGCGATTTGTTGATTCCAATAAAATGGTGTATGATGTTCCGCCACCACAATTTCAAATGTTCCGCCACCAAAAATTTGAATGTTACGCTATCAAAATTTCAAATGTTGATTGTTATTCCTTTCAATAACTTTTTACATCCAGAGACACGGCACTGTCTTGCTCCAAGTACTAGTATGAATAGTTACATCCACAGAGACGGGTGATTTTAACTAATCAAGGACAGATGACGAGTTTTGTTCCATCCTTCTGATCAAGATCTTCAGGATGAGCGATTTTTTTTATTCCAGAGACACGCTATAAATAATAGTTCAAGAAGAAACTAAAAAAACTTTTATATAGGTCTGTACAAAATCTCAGGACATATTTATGAGGCCAAACTAAGCCGATTTGAAGCAACTTACCTCAGTCCGAAATAGCTCCATTTCAGAGATACAGGGTGGTATATATACAAAACAAATATCGAATTTCTCAAAATGTATGAATATTTTCAGACGTATTACTTGAAAAATTGGTAGCCGGGGGCATTTTGGGATGCAACCCGTATACCCGTATACCTTTTCACTGTGGCAATTTGAGGGCGCTTACCAATGCACTTCTTATGGTTTAGAATGTCCATAATTTTTTTCTCAGTGTAGTTTTTCACTTGTTTCTTATGTTTTGAAATTGCTACCCTGTATCTCGGAAACGAAGCAGTTTCGGGATCAGGTGAGTTACTTTAAATAAGCTTATTTGGATCTCAGGACACTATGGGCGTTTTCGGAAACCTAATCGGGTAGACTCGATCCCTAACCTGCACGTTCGTTTACCTAACCCGAGTAACATACCCATGTTCGGAAACTTCGATGTTACTTACTCGATCACTAACTCGGGTTCATGTTTCGCAACCCTGCTCCAAAGCAGGGTCAGCAAGAGTTACTACCTTAGATCATACACTTACTACCACAGAACTACTCACGATTCATTTATTGGTCACTTCAGATATTATTTGATTTCATCAATTGAACAAGAAGTGAATTATGTTGAATAGCATTAGTTTGATGATGAAAATACACCAACATCATGAGCAGAAGCAATATTCATCATTTCTAGAACAATGACAACGTGTATTTTTCAAGTGTTTAGTGGTATGTTTTTAAAGATATGGAGAAATTGATCCGAAAATATTGATATCGTATAGCAAACTGAAAAAATTGCATACAGCTGTAAGTAATCAAGAAGTTCTATTCGAAGAGGTATAAAGCTAACTAAATTAAATAGTAACCTGATAAGTTCGTAAACTATAGTATTAGGATAAGTGATCCGACTGATCCATCACGTGACCCGTTCAGATCGAGTCAACAACCCAGAGTAAGTTTCCGAAAACGCCTGATGTGCTAAGATGTTGTACAGCCAATTTTCAATGTGTTTAAAATACGAATAAAGTAAAATTACTCTTGAATACTATTCATTTCTAATTGTCTTCATTACCCCAGGAAACATATCTGCAGTGGAAACAAACAAATTCTTACTTTTTCTTGAGATGAAAGTTGTGATTGCACTAATTTCCTCGATATCCTCAACCGTTCCGGAGTCATTCTAGAAAAATAACGTTTTCGTTAGGTGAGCGCGGAGGAGCGAAAATTGACGAAAATCGATTTTCCTTGGCCGATCATCGACAGACCGATGTTTTTCCTCGTGACCCAAGGACAAGAAGAGATCGCCGGTTCTGGTACGAGCTATTTGAACCGAACGGAAGCCTCGAACGTTGAAAAAATCGCTACTAGGTGAGTTTGAGTGTGTTCATTAGCTATATTTTTTACCTTGTTACATTCTCACTACTGAGATCAATTGAGTCAGAAGAACAGATTTTTATCTGTCAGGAAGGGCAAGGGAAGAAAACATAACCCAACATAATTCAAACAAAATGTAAAATTGCTGAGGAAATAAATGAGGAGCATTGAAATATAGGTCGCGTGCACGATGACCGACCCTGGAGGCAACATATTGAAACACAACCTCATTCTTCTGTGAATTATTGAAACACAACCTCACTTTTTTACTTGGTTACAGAGGAATCAAAGGATTGAACTAGTTTTTCACAATATTTTGGCATACGAATCGTGTTTTTTGCGCTATTCATTAATTCAAGCATGCCTTCGCATTGTGCTGTTGTACAATGCACAAAAAATGCAGCAAGAGACTAGGGAATATGATTTTTCAGGTAAATAGTAATCTCACATAGTTATCATTATGAAATGTTGTCATTCCTTATTAAAATTCCTTCTGCCTTCTGTCACTTCTGCAATACAAGCTAATACTGCTAATAGATTGAAAATGTCTACAACACACACGATCGTCAGCATGTCAGACCAGTCCTCCCGATTGATTGCATGAATCCAATTTTCTGGCATTATTTTAGAAATTTCAGATGTATTTCTATTAGCTCCTATCGCAGAGAAAGTTCCGATGAGAAATCAGAGAAATTATCAAATTTCAAAAATGAAAACTATATGTGAGTGACTATAGTAGGTAGGTACTTACTTTTGAATCATATTGTACCAACCGGATTACTTCGTCTTCCGCTGCAGTTTTTGTGTATTTCACAACAGCATAATGTGATGGCATGAGCGAATTGATGAATAGCGGAAAAATACGATTCGCATGCCAAAATAATTGTGAAAAACTATTTCAATCACTTGTAAACAAATAAGTAAAGTGACGTTTGTGTTTCAATATTTTGCCTCCAGTGTCGGTTATCTGACAGTTCTTGCACGCAACCCATTATTGTAGTGAGTATTCAAAGAATTTAACCTGTGGACTGAAACTTCAAAGCTGGAAGCATGTCAAAATGAAGATACAACCTCACAATTTTCAGCACAGAACCACAGAATTACTAGAATTAATCCAGTCTCACGTTTTTCTCACTACAACACCAGATGAATAGCAAGCTCAGTTGGGGTGAGGGGAAAGAAATAGTCTCAATAAGTTCTTAAGACAACTCACATCAGACTAAGATAAATGAAACATGTAATACAACTGAGCTATTGAGCTGCACTGAGAATCTTGGTTAATCTCAGTCAAAGTTGGTAAAAAGAATATTACTATTGATGATAATTAGCTGGAAATTGAAACGAACTGATGTTTTTGGAAAATTTGTGGGTTATGAAGTCTGAAAAAAAAAGAAACAACTTGCAAGTACGTTTTATTAAACAATGCTTATGAAAAAACTAGAAAGACCCCGTAAGCGATTCCAGCATGTTGTTTCATTAGTCGTTATTATGGCTAATCCACAATGATTTGGGAAATAGTTTGATAGCACAAGCTAAAAATTAATGTGAGTTGGGCCTATTGATATGTTTTGACAACATTTTGGATATCATTGCTTCTTGAGAAAGAATTTAATCAATTCCAGCAACTGTTACATTGCACATGGAAGGTCTATCAACGCATTTTGGGAAATAAAATGAACTGTCTTGACTATTTTTTAGGTATCATTTGGATATTATTGCATTTCCTCGTTGGACCCAGCACTGGATCCAACGCTCCATAAGTCGAAACTTGTGCGGGGTTAGGAAAGCATACATTTAGGTCTTATTCACAATAATTGTGATATTTCAGCAGGAATATTAGTGGGTTCTGTAATTTAGAAGTTATACAGAATACATTACTGAAAATTATTCTCAGAAAAAATAAACTTTTTTCCACCCGGCAATTATAAGATGAATCACAAGTTTTCAATTTACAAAAACTATACTTCCTTCAATCCATATTTTGGACTATTAATACGCCACATGCGACAGTGTCCCATGTTCATAATATTCGTAGAAAAGCAAGACAGGTTCTCTCAGTTCCCTGCTGCAGACTTACTAAGAATCAAAAATTCATAACATTTTATGGACCGAAGCTTTATAATCTGCTTCCTTCTGACATAAAAAATGTCACCAATAAAAATCGTCAAAAAAAAATGTATTGAAACTTATTTAAAAAACAAATCATTCATGAAAATTCTCGAAAATTAATTGTTGCCAGAAATAAATGTTAATATTGTCCTTTCTTCCTTCATGTAAGATATTTTTAAATAGTTTTCATGTATATACAGTCGACGACTTTCAGTTTATTGTCGCACAAGAATGTGCCACAATACAAGCCCGGCTTAGGTGGCTTCTTCTGATTATTTGTTAATTTTCACATTATATAATATTTCCTTTTTAGGAAGAATACTTTACGTTTATATGTATATATTTCAATTTTAGGTGAATACCTATTGCATTCATTATATTGATCTGAAAATTTATTGCACTGTAATAACAAACAAACTGTACACATATATACTGAATAAACTAATTCACTTACTTACTATATTGGGAGTGAATACGAAACAGTTTTGCCTACATTTTGGAAATTATCGCTCTAGAACAAGAATCTCATCAATTCCAACATGTAGTTTCATTGAATCTCAATAGCCCTAACCCACAACTATAAAAAAAACAGTGTGTTAAAATCGACTGAATCGGTTTTCCAACCGCTTCAGGTTCTTGCGCTCGGGCGTGAAGCCGGAACAGATCGGCGTCATCACCCCGTACGAAGGTCAACGGGCCTACCTCGTGCAGTACATGCAGTACCAAGGTTCGCTGCACAGCAAGCTGTACCAGGAGATCGAGATAGCGAGCGTGGACGCTTTCCAAGGCCGCGAAAAGGACATCATCATCATGTCGTGCGTACGGTCGAACGAGCACCAGGGTATCGGATTTTTGAACGATCCGAGACGGTTGAACGTGGCTTTGACCAGGGCCAAATACGGGATTATTATCGTCGGTGAGTCACAATGGAGAATTGAATTCATGTTCTGAGTCACATAACCTCAAAAAAATTAAAGTCACATAACTTCTTTGAGATATTAAGAGTCTGTAGATACAATAGTATCACAATGAAAATAAAGTTAACTTCTGACAATGACAATCTAATCCTTCAAACATTGAAACATTCTATATACAAGGTGTAAGATCACACCACATTACTCCGCCTTTGAAATAATTCAGATGTTGAATTTCACTCTTCTTCCATATCTGGTTTCATAAAACTCTTGTTGTTTGTCTGAAACGGGTGATTCATTTTGAAACATTCTATATACAAGGTGTAAGATCACACCACAAGTCCTAAGGCACATGACTAAGAAAGTATGCAAAAAAAAATCATTGTTAGATTCACACTGATAATCAGATCTAACATCAGAAGTGCCATAAAGTACCCAGTACCTTGGGTGTACCTTTGTTGTTCTGTTAGCTCGGCGTTGTCGAAACATATTTTGTGTAGTGCAGCAACGGCGTTTTGGTGTTTTCATTGAACTGTAACTACAAGGAGGGTCCTGTTGGAGTAACAAACAGTTTTGTGCTCGAACCTGAAAGCTAATAATTTTCCACCGTTTAGTCACCGATGATTATGTAATATCGTTGTTTCGATTAAATATCTGGTATTCTGTTTGTCACGATGGTCGGCACCGATGATTATGTAATATCGTTGTTTCGATTAAATATCGGGTATTGGTGATCGAATATACTCGACGTTTATTATTCTAGTGGTCGATTGTATTGCCGATTGCACGATATTTCGGAATTTCGTTTAACGAATCTGCAATTTCCCTTTGTATTGATGATTTGATTGTTTAGCGATTTACATCAGTGTTTCCATAGATCTAGAGTGTGATTAGATTTATCAGTGTGAATGTAACAAACATAACCTCATAAAAAGTGAGGCAGATACTCTCTGAGAAATTTAAAAGCCTAAGCCACACAATCTCAAATCAGTAAGTGGTTTATCAGATTTTTTCTGGGGGGTCTAAAATGATGATGGCGAAATTCTGATTTCTTTTCATCGCAATTTGTGTCTACACAGGGTGTACTCAAAGGTGAGGCATTTTTTTAATGGTATGTTGAACTATTCCAAATAGTCTAAATCAGCAAAATTTGACAATATGAAAGTTGCAACATAACGAAGTTGAAAAATTCACCGATAGAATTGGCACTTCTACTGTCCTGATATGTTCACCATTCAGGCGGGTACAGGCTTCATCACATATTATCCTTTATTTCCTTCAAACACCTTGTGTCACAACACCTTCGCACCAACTTGAAGAACATTCATGGTGTCGGATGATTTCTTAACGGAAACATTTCGATGTAGAAACGAAATGTTGCTGCTGCACTTTGGCGACACACGCAATAAATCAAAAACATGTTATGAAGTCCATTATTTTCGTAAACGTGTTACATTGTTAGACAATTCACAGGAAAAAACAATTGAGCAAGAGGATCCGGTGACTAGTGCTACACATACGAAATTCTGCACTTGACGGTAGCAGGAGGATATGAGTTTTATTGTTTATTGAGAAACTAGCTTCCAGTCAGAAATAAAATTCTGGTATGAGGAAGTTGATTACAAACGACAATTATAAAATAACATAAGGTGACAACAACAATAACAAAAAATGTAAGATCAGTCGGATAATCATCTAACAGAGATCAGTGTGGCCAGGACCTTACTGAAATTCTTGAAATCTATGGAATGTTCAATTGATAATATCTCCCTTATTATGCAATTTTCATCAAAACCCACATTCTCTCAGAAAAATGTCTCGCCTTGAGGTGCAGGCAGTTTAAAATATCAGAATTGTTTCAACAGTTGTTTTCAACGTACGTCGATAAGAAATTCGATATCAAGACTTCAAGGGTGTGCCATTTTATTCAAAGTCGAAACTAAAAATAATATAATTTTTTTTCTTAGGCAACCCCAAAGTGCTGTCAAAACAGCCGCTCTGGAATCACCTTTTGTCCTTCTACAAGGAGCAAAAGGTGTTGTGCGAAGGCCCTTTGACCAACCTCAAAGAGTCCCTCATCCAATTCGCCAAACCGAAAAAGTTGATCAACGCCGAGAACCCCGGCTCCCATTTCATGACCACCTCGATGTTCGATGCTCGCGAAGCCATGGTGCCCGGTTCGGTGTACGATCGCACCAATCAGGCCATCAACGGCCACTTCAACTATCCCAATAGGTGAGTGAAGCTGAATTAACGGGCAATTCGAAAGTGTCTGGAGTTGCTAAAAACGTCAGGCAATTCGACTGTTCAACATTTTTTTTATTTCTGGAGGTTATATGCCTCGGGGAACACCTCCCTTGGTAATGTGTTCCAGAGCCTCGCTGTTCGTTGGATGAACGAGTTTTTGGGAAGAGATGTTCTGCAGGTTAGAATAGGTGAAACCTCGGGCGATTTAATTTTCTCAACAGATAAGTGAAGCTAAATTAACGGGTAATTTAGCTGTTTTAATGAGTAAGTGGAGCTAAACTAACGGACAATTTGAAACTGTTTAGTGTTGCTAAAAACGTCGGGCAATTCAAATGTTTAAATCAAATTAACGGGTAATTTAGCTCTCGTAATAGGTAAGTGGAGCTAAGCTGACGGACATTTTGAAACTGAAAAAGGTAATTTAGCTATCTTGTTAAGTAAGTGAAGCTAAATTAACGGGCAATTTGAAAGTGTATGGAGTTGCTAAAAACGTCGGGCAATTCGACTGTTCAAATGAGGTAAGGGTAGGTGAAACCTCGGGCTATTTAACTCTCTCAATAGATAAGTGAAGCTAAATTAACGGGTAATTAAGCTGTACTAATTAGCAAGTGGAGCTAAACTAACGGAAAATTTGAAACTATTTGAAGTTGCTAAAAACATCGGGCAATTCAACTGTTCAAATCAATCAACGGGTAATTTAGCTCTCCTAATTAGTAAGTGGAGCTAAACTAACGGACAATTTAGAACTGGATAAGGTAATTTAGCTATCTTGATAAGTAAGTGAAGCTAAATTAACGGGCAGATATAAAACTGAATAAGGTTAGGGTATCTAGAAACGTCGGGCAATTCAACTGGCTAAATCAACGGGTAATTTAGTCACCCTGATGAGTAAGTGAAGCTAAACTTACGGGCAAACTAACTGTCTGAATGAGGTTAGGGTATCTAGAAACGTCGGGCGATTCAACTGGTTAACGGGTAATTTAGCTTTCCTAATTGGTAAGTGAAGCTAAATTAACGGGTAATTTAGCTGTACTAATAATTAGCAAGTGGAGCTAAACTAACGGAAAATTTGAAACTATTTGGAGTTGCTGAAAACGTCGGGCAATTCAACTGTTCAAATCAATCAACGGGTAATTTAGCTCTCCTAATTGGTAAGTGGAGCTAAACTAACGGACAATTTGAAACTGGATAAGGTAATTTAGCTATCTTGATAAGTAAGTGAAGCTAAATTAACGGGCAGATATAAAACTGAATAAGGTTAGGGTATCTAGAAACGTCGGGCAATTCAACTGGCTAAATCAACGGGTAATTTAGTCACCCTGATGGGTAAGTGAAGCTAAATTTACGGGCAAATTAACTGTCTGAATGAGGTTAGGGTATCTAGAAACGTCGGGCGATTCAACTGGCTGAATCAACGGGTAATTTAGTCACCCTGATGGGTAAGTGAAGCTAAATATACGGACAAATTAACTGTCTGAATGAGGTTAGGGTATCTAGAAACGTCGGGCAATTCAGCTGGCTAAATCAACGGGTAATTTAGTCACCCTGATGGGTAAGTGAAGCTAAATATACGGACAAATTAACTGTCTGAATGAGGTTAGGGTATCTAGAAACGTCGGGCGATTCAACTGGTTGAATCAACGGGTAATTTAGCTTTCCTAATTGGTAAGTGAAGCTAAATTAACGGGTCATTCAACTGTTCGCATAAGGTTGAGGTAATTTAGCTATCCTGAGAGTTAAGGAAATTAAATTAATGAGCGACTGAATTTCTCCGATTGACTGGTATGTCTAAATTAACTATCAAAATGGGTAATGAAGCTAAAATATGGGCAATCTAATTGTTCCGGCTGCCGTCTATTAAGAAATCAATAATGGGTAATTGAAGCTAAATTAACGGGTAATTCGGTTGTCCTGTTTGGTTAAAGTCGAGCCTAATCAACAGGCGATTCGACTACTTCAATAGATAAGAGAGATAGATATACCTAGTGTATAAGCAGCACACTAGAATAGGATATTTAGTTTTATTCTTCTCCTGAAGATGCTAGCATAGTTAGCGAAACACGTGTCGAGGTGTTTAAAAAATCGGTTTGGTTAGAGGTAAAACAGTGTAGTCTACAGGAGGCTATCGACTTCTCAGCCATTTTGAGTTTCTTAGAAACTCGTTATTTTTCCTTCTTCTTCTTCTTCTCTTTAGACCAGTGCCGATGGACATGTTCAGCCGCACACACGATCCCATCAGCTACATATCCTCGGAGCGGGCTCAAGCCGGTCTCAATTTGCCCGTACCCGTCGGCATGTTTATGAACATGTCGCACATCCCGCCACGGTTCTACAATCAACATCAGCAGGCGTTGCAGGCGCGCCAACAGCAAAATCCGAGGGCCAGGTAAAAAGAAAGAAAGAAACAGCGCTCTTAGTGCCATAGGGTTAGAGAGGGAGAGAGCGGAAGAGGGTTAGAGAAAGAGGGATAGACAAAAGAGGGAGATGAGGGCGGAAGCTAGAAAGAGAGAGCTAGAAAGAGAGAGCTAGAAAGAAGGTGCTAGAGGGAGAGAGCTACAAAAAAGAGTTGCTGAGAGATAGAGAGACTGTTAGAGATAGCTAGGGAAAGAGAGAGAGTTAGAGAGTGCTTGAGAAAGAGGGTTAGAATCAAAAAGAAAGGAAAACAGATAGAGAGAGAGAGAGCTAGGAAGAGAATGAAGAGAGAGCTCCGTAATAAGGGAAATTATTGAATTCATTCTGAAATCGAGGTGATTGCAATATAAATCTTGTAATTAGATCCTAATGGATCGAATAATGTTGCAAAAATTAGTCTGATTCTTGAATTCATTCTGCTATTGAGGAAATCGCAATCTGAATCTTGCAATCCTAGCAATCATAGCCTAATTGTTGAATTTATTGTGAAATCGAGGTGATTGCAACATAAATCTTGTAATAATTAGAGCCTAATTGACAGAATAAACTTGCAGTACCTAGGCAAATTGTTAAATTTATTGTGAAATCGAGGTGATTGCAACATAAATCTTGCAGTAATTAGATCCTAATTGACAAAATAATCTTGCAGTAATTAGTGTAATTGTTGAATACATTCTACAATTGAGAAAATTGCAATTTGTATTTTGCAATAATACCCTGATTGGCCAAATAATCTTGCAGTAATCAGACAAATTGTTGAATTCTGAAATTGAGATAAATCTTGCAATAATAACAGTCTAATTGACAGAATAATCTTGTAGAAATTATTCTAATTGTTGAATTCATTCTGCTATTGAGGATATTGCAATCTGACTCTTGCAATCATAACCTAATTGACAGAATAACCTTGGAGTAATCAGGCAAATTGTTGAATTTATTGTGAAATCGAGGTTATTGCAAGACAAATCTGGCAATTTGAGCCTAATTGACAGAATAATCTTGCAATAATTAGTCTAATTGTTGAATTCATTCTCCTATCGAGAATATCGCAATCTGAATCTTGCAATAATAGCCTAATTGACCGAATAACCTTGCAGTAATTAGGCAAATTGTCGAATTTATTGCGAAATCAAGGTTATTGCAAGATAAATCTGGCAATTTGAGCCTAATTGACAGAATAATCTTGCAATAATTAGTCTGATTCTTGAATTCATTCTTCTATCGAGGATATGGCAATCTGAATCTTGCAATAATAGCCTAATTGATCGAATAGCCTTGTAGTAATTAGGCAAATTGTTGAATTTATTGCGAAATCAAGGTTTATTGCAAGATGAATCTGGCAATTTGAGCCTAATTGACACAATAATCTTGCAATAATTAGGCTAATTCTTGAATTCATTCTCCTATTGAGAATATCGCAATCTGAATCTTGCAATAATAGCCTAATTGATCGAATAGCCTTGTAGTAATTAGGCAAATTGTTGAATTTATTGCGAAACGAAGGTTATTGCAAGATGAATCTGGCAATTTGAGCCTAATTGACAGAATAATCTTGCAATAATTAGTCTAATTGTTGCATTCATTCTCCTATCGAGAATATCGCAATCTGAATCTTGCAATAATAGCCTAATTGGCCTAATAACCTTGCAGTAATTAGGCAAATTGTCGAATTTATTGCGAAATCAAGGTATTGCAAGATAAATCTGGCAATTTGAGCCTAATTGACAGAATAATCTCGCAATAATTAGTCTGATTGTTGAATTCATTCTTCTATCGAGGATATTGCAATCTGAATCTTGCAATAATAGCCTAATTGACCGAATAACCTTGCAGTAATTAGGCAAATTGTCGAATTTATTGCGAAATCGAGGTTATTGCAACATAAATCTTGCAATTAGAGCCTAATTGAGAGAATAATCTTGCACTAATTAGTCTAATAATATTTTGCGAACGTTAGAGCCTAATTAGTTTTGCCAGGAAACCGCCTCAGCAACAGCAACGGCACAAGGGCAAAGCCCTCAGCCAGGACCACAACACGCAGCCGTTCAGCCAGAGCGTCCAGCTGACGCAGGGCATGTCTCAGCCGGGGCTGTCGCAGCCCGGCGGCGGCTTCAGTCTCAGCCAGCCGGGGCTGTCTCAGCCCGAGCTCAGCCAGGATCCGTACATGGCCGAATACCAGTCGCAGATGGACGGGTTGCTGTCTCAGGATTCCACTTATCAGGGAGATAGGTGAGGAAAAGTTCAGAAAAGTTGCTCAGAAAAATTGATCAATAATAGTATTTTTTTCCCTCTGAGAGGCTCAGCAATTATTAATTTTGGACGCGGGAGTTTTGGGGGGGGAAAGAAGATTACTATTTTTTAGTTTTCGAACGGGATTTGGAAATCATGACTTCAGAGACGTGCCCACATTTTTTTCTGAGGGGGTGAACAATTAGGAAATGTTGGAATTTTGAAGTTTTTTCGAAATCATTGGTTTTCAGATTCAAAATTGTGACTTCAGGGGAGTGCACACACTTTTTCAAAGGGCGTCTGTGATTAAAAAAATGGAAAATTCCAAAAAATATCTTCCGATGTACTTGAATGATGAATGAAAAAATGGAAACTTCAGGCGCGTACCAATTTTTTTGTGTGTAGGGGCCAATAATTGATGAATTAATTTGATAGTTCTTCAACAACATCGTCGATAAGAACTTCAGGGACGTATCATCTTTATTTATGAGGAAGTGCAAGGAAAAATTACGAGAATTTCGAAAAAGGGTCATCAATGAAAGAATCTGGAATTCGGAAATAAATCAAAATTTTGACTCCAGGGACGTCTTGATTCAATATTTGATGGGGCAAAATTGAATATTTCAGTTATTTTAAAGAAAAACCGAAGATTTTTCTACGTGTATCGATGAGAAATAGATTCACGACTTGGGGGGTGTACCCAATTTTTTTCTCTGGGGGTTCAAGGTCAAGATTTTATCAAGGGCGTCCCAATTTTTTTTTTAATAAGTTATGTTTGTTCATCGGAATAGCTACTTCAGGTGCGTACCCAATTTTTTTTCTAAAGGGGTCATCAACAGAAAATGTCGGCATTTACAATTTTCTCCGAATCATATCAAATTTTCGAATTCAGCGGCGTACAATGAGATAGATGAATAATTTCGAAATTAGAGTCAAATTTTCGAATTTATGGGCGTACAAATTTTATTTGGAAGGGCCATCAAGAAATAGTGTCGAATTTTGGTAATTCCTGACATCGGATAGGAAATTGAAATTTGGACTTCAGGGTCGTGCATATATTTTTCTGAAGGGGTCATAAACAAATAATGTCGAAATTTCGTCATTCCATCGACATTATCGGTGAGAAAATTGAAATAGCGACTTCAGGGTCGTACACATTTTTTTTCTGAAGGGGTTATAAACTAACAATGTCGAAATTTAGTAATTCCTTCGACATTATTGGTTAGAAAATTGAAATTTCGACGTCAGGGCCGTGCATATTTTTTTTCTGAAGGGTTCATAAACAAACAATGGTAACATTTAGTAATTCCTTCAACATTAACGGTGAAAAAATTGAAATTTTGACTTCAGGCTCGTACACTTTTTTTTTCTGAAGGGGTCATAAACAAACAATGTCGAAATTGAGTAATTTCTTCGGCATTATCCGTAAAAAAAATTGAACTATCGACTTCAGGGCCGTGCATATTTTTCTTCTGAAGGGGTCATAAACAAACAATGGTAAAATTTAGTAATTCCTTCGACATTATCGGTGAAAAAATTGAAATTTTGACTTCAGGGTCGTACACTTTTTTTTCTGAAGGGGTCATAAACAAACAATGTCGAAATTGAGTAATTCCTTCGACATTATCGGTGAAAAAATTGAAATTTCGACTTCAGGGCCGTGCAAATCTTTTTCTGAAGGGGTCACAAACAAAAAATGGTAAAATTTAGGAATTCCTTCGACATAATCGGTGAAGAAATTGAAATTTCGACTTCAGGGTCGTACACATTTTTTTTTGAAGGGGTCATAAACAATGTCGAAATTCAGTAATTCCTTCGTCATTAACGGTTATAAAATTGAAATTTCGACTTCAGGGTCGTACACATTTTTTTTTTCTGAAGGGGTCATGGACAAACAATATCGAAATTTAGTAATTCAGTCGACATTTTCTGTGAGAAAATTGAAATTCGACTTCAGGGTCGTACACATTCTTTTTCTGAAGGGGTCATAAACAAACAATGCCAAAATTTAGTAATTCCTACGATATTATCGGTAAGTAAATCGAAATTTCGGATTCAGGGTCGTGCACATTTTTTTTTCTGAAGGGGTCATAAAGAAAAGGTCGAAATTTCGTAATTCCTTCGACATTATCGGCTAGAAAATGAAAATTTCGACTTCAGGGTCGTACACACTTTTTTTCTTCTGAAGGGGTCATAAACAAACAATGTCGAAATTTGGTAATTCCTTCGACATTATCGGTTAGAAAATTGAAATTTCGACTTCAGGGCCGTGCATATTTTTTTTCTAGAGGGGTCATAAACAAACAATGGTAAAATTTAGTAATGCCTTCGACATTATCGGTGAACAAATTTAAATTTCGACTTTAGGGTCGTACACTTTTTTTTCTGAAGGGGTCATAAACAAACAATGTCGAAAATTTGTAATTCCTTCGACATCATCCGTGAAAAAATTGAAATTTCGACTTCAGGGCCGTGCATATTTTTTTTCTGAAGGGGTCCCAAACAAAAAATGGTAAAATTTAGGAATTCCTTCGACATTATCGGTGAAAAAATTGAAATTTCGACTTCAGGGTCGTACACATTTTTTTTTCTGAAGGGGTCATAAACAAGCAATGTCGAAATTTAGTAATTCCTTCGACATTAATGGTTAGAAAATTGAAATTTCGACTTCAGGGTCGTACATATATTTTTTTCGGAAGGGGTCATGGACAAACAATATCGAAATTTAGTAACTTTGTCGACATTATCGGTGAAAAAAATTGAAATTTCGACTTCAGGGTCGTACACATTTTTTTTCTGAAGGGGTCATGGACAAACATTATTGAAATTTAGTAATACCGTCGACATTTTCTGTAAGAAAATGGAAATTCGACTTCATGGTCGTACACATTTTTTTTCTGAAGGGGTCATAAACAAAAAATGTCGAAATTTAGTTATTTCTACGATATTATCGGTAAGAAAATTGAAATTTCGAATTCAGGGTCATGCATATTTTTTTTTTCTGAAGTGGGTCATAAACAAACTGTCGAAATTTAGTAATTCCTTCGACATTAATGGTTAGAAAATTGAAATTTCGACTTCAGGGTCGTACATATATTTTTTTCTGAAGGGGTCATGGACAAACAATATCGAAATTTAGTAATTTTGTCGACATTTTCTGTAAGAAAATTGAAATTCTACTTCAGGGTCGCACACATTTTTTTTTTCTGAAGGGGTCATAAACAAAAAATGTCAAAATTTAATAATTCCTACGATAATATCGGTAACAAAATTGAAATTTCGAATTCAGGGTCGTGCATATTTTTTTTCCGAAGGGGTCATAAACAAACAATGTCGAAATTTAGTAATTCCTTCGACATTAACGGTTAGAAAATTGAAATTTCGACTTCAGGGTCGTACACATTTTTTTTTTCTGAAGGGGTCATAAACAAACAATGTCAAAATTTAATAATTCCTACGATAATATCGGTAACAAAATTGAAATTTCGAATTCAGGGTCGTGCATATTTTTTTTCCGAAGGGGTCATAAACAAACAATGTCGAAATTTAGTAATTCCTTCGACATTAACGGTTAGAAAATTGAAATTTCGACTTCAGGGTCGTACATATATTTTTTTCTGAAGGGGTCATGGACAAACAATATCGAAATTTAGTAATTTTGTCGACATTTTCTGTAAGAAAATTGAAATTCTACTTCAGGGTCGCACACATTTTTTTTTTCTGAAGGGGTCATAAACAAAAAATGTCAAAATTTAATAATTCCTACGATAATATCGGTAACAAAATTGAAATTTCGAATTCAGGGTCGTGCATATTTTTTTTCTGAAGGGGTCACAAACAAAAAATGGTAAAATTTAGGAATTCCTTCAACATTATCGGTGAAAAAATTGAAATTTCGACTTCAGGGTCGTACACATTTTTTTCTGAAGGGGTCATAAACAATGTCGAAATTTAGTAATTCCTTCGACATAAACGGTTATAAAATTGAAATTTCGACTTCAGGGTCGTACACATTTTTTTTTCTGAAGGGGTCACAAACAAAAAATGGTAAAATTTAGGAATTCCTTCAACATTATCGGTGAAAAAATTGAAATTTCGACTTCAGGGTCGTACACATTTTTTTCTGAAGGGGTCATAAACAATGTCGAAATTTAGTAATTCCTTCGACATAAACGGTTATAAAATTGAAATTTCGACTTCAGGGTCGTACACATTATTTTTCTGAAGGGGTCATGAAGAAAAGGTCGAAATTTCGTAATTCCTTCGACATTATGGGCTAGAAAATTGAAATTTTGACATCAAGCACGTACCTTGTTTTTTTCTGAAGAAAAATCGGAATTTCCTCGACGTTGGAACAATGAAACTGATAAATTCACCAGTGCTAAATGCTTCAACCAAAACCAACTCTTGTCGTTTTTCTAGGTCCGCCTTTTACCAACCGAATGCTCAGTTCTCCCAGCCCTACTGATCGTAGTTCGGAAGAAGAATGACACGAAAGAATCGCGGGAGCGGTCTTCTGAAAATTTGCAAGTGATTTGGAGATCTGATTGTCAAATTGTCAGTAAACGCAGCATACAAAAACCACAAAAACAAAACAAACGGAAAGCAGAAGTCGACTACGGAACAACAACATCAATTAGCACGATGCAAACGAGAAAGAGAAAATATTATAACGAAAAAAACAAAAAACAAATGAGTCGGTCGTGGTGGAGCAAAATGTTATGTTGTCACTCGGATATTCCTGACTAGTTCGATGGTACGGTAAAAAGATGGCGCTGAGAATTCCAATGGGATGTTAAAAGATCGTTCAATTTTCAATATTGGTATTTTGCAAGATAGTGGAAAAAGAAAGTTGGTCAAATTACAAGAAAGGTCAACGTTTATCAATGTTGAGTAGAACTTTGCATTTCTCAACTATTTAAGTATTGTGGTACCTATAAAACAAATGACTTGATGTAGAATTGTACTGGATCACATTTTTTTCAGATTGATTATTTGTTTATGGAAGGTTTGGTGAAGATGAACATTTCTTGCGGTACCAAAAATGTTTGTATGTTTTTGCGTGATATCTCAGTTATCTTTGGAGATGGAACTTTGCGGTTTTCGCGGTCCTCTGCCACTTTTTTGTGAAACTCAAGACAAGACAAATTGAAATTTAGGCCCATGGACAATTTTACGTAGAATCCAGTGGCGCACTCAAGTTTTATTTTTTTTTCGGGGTACGGTTTTGCAGATACGACTCGAACTTATGATTTTTTAGAATAGACCACCCTGTATTTTATCAACTCATTGAATTCCAAATTTTTTCCCTTCAAAATGATATATAATGTTTGAATTTAAAAATTCAAAAATGCTCTAAAATCACTAAAACGTTGAATTTGAAACGGATTGGATGGATTTTTCATATGTAATACCACAAGTGATAATATTTTGCCGGGAATATTCGATGATTGTTACGACAGCTTGATGCCTAGTAATTTCGTGAATGACATTGTTATCAAGGTCATGAGCGAAATTACTAGGCAACAAGCTGGAGTATGTCAATCGACGAATATTTCCAGGAAAAATAGTATCACGAGTTGTATTCGTATGACTATTTCATGATTGAATGAGACAATATATATAATAGGAAACATAATTTAAGTATATTCCAACTCAAACTGCGAAGAAGAACATAATGATAGTAATGAAATACAGATTTCAATTTTTTTGAAATTAACTACCTACTTATAGTTATTCACGAAGTGGAATGTACAATTTTTATAAACAGTATTTTTTTATTATCTTGGAGATGGTTGCTCCCAAAAGAGTGTATACATTTGCTATCCAATTCGAACAAAATAAATTGAATTTATGTGACATGAAATAATTAAAAAAAAAAAAGATATCGTCGCCGGGGGGTCGAACCACCGACCTTCGTATCTTCGCGCAATAACCCTATCAGTTACGCTACATCAACTTATAATTATATTAGTCACAATCACTTGAGTGATTGAAAAAGATTACTTTGAAAAGGAATTTGAATTCTAGTATTGTTGTGTCAGACCGTCAACAAATATGCAAACTTTTTAAATTACACATGAAACCTCTAGCCAGAATAAAATTGTCTCGCCTTTCGTACAAAATCTCTCACTAACGCGAATTATAAGTAAATAAAATAAAGTGGGAACTCAGGTTATTGTCTCAGATTTGAATCGAAAGCAATCTTGACCAGACACGATGTCAAAATTTTATCGCTGATAAACGAGGTTAGTTGGTCACGTGTGGGTCAATTCGGCTTCTGTATTGGTAGAGCAAGTCCGATGAAATTCAATAAACAAAAAATATCGCTAGAATACAGAAGAAACCGTGAAAATGGTCGATTCTGATTGGTTCTCGAGATCAAGAGTGGAATAGTCATATAAAAAAAGTTCCAATTGAAGGAATATTTCCTTCGATTTTTCCATGAAGAGAACAAAAACAATATCAACACTAATTAACCAACAAAACACACAAGTTAAGTACCTGAAAGCAACAAATAAATCGTAATAAAAATATTCCTTCAATTGGAACTTTTTTCATATGAAAAATCCATCCAATCCGTTTAAAAGTCAATGTTTTAGTAGCTATGGAGCATTTTTGAAATGAAAAATAAGGAATTTAATTAGCTGATAAAATACAGGGTGTTCCATTCAAAAAATCATAAGTTTGAGTCGTATCCGCAAAACCGTACCCCGAAAAAAAAATTGAGTGCGCTACTGGAGTCTGCGTAAAATTCTCTATGGAATAAGATTTCAATTCGACATTCTCGCTAAGATACTTCGTAGATACAGAGGGGGTTCAAAAAGTATAAATTTTCAAAATCGCCCTGTATCTCATAAACGGAAACAGTCCTGCAAAATCTGATTAGGCCATCTTGAGTTTCACAAAAAAGTGGCATAGGACCGCGAAGACCGCAAAATTCTATCTCCAACGATAACTGAGATATCATCAATCAAAAATGGACACACTGTATACGATGAGAAATCGGCATTTGACCTGCTTTATGTAAAAATGATATCGTTTCCTAGTTTTCCGGTACTTTGAAGGATAAAAGGTACCTTATATTGAAGGTGCCGTAATACTAAATCGTTCTTTTATAACAGAGGTACCACTTTTTTGAACTCATGAATGGATACACTACATTTCTTCACTAATTACGAAATCGTGGCCAATTTCCTCTATCTAGTTTTGTGGTACCTTCGATATAAGTACCGTTCGTTTTCATGGTAAAGGTACCGCAATAGTAAGATTGTTTATTTTCAGGGGAATTTTCCATTTCAATGGAAATTGACAGGTCAGGTATTTTAGGACTGGCATAATATTTTTGTTGCGTACACGAAACAAAAAAAAAAAGTACTCGCTGTTGTAATAACGAACGCAGACATTGCAATCGGCAATTCCTGTAGATGACGTTTTTTCACGCCGCTGTGACTAACCGATTCTTCATTTTCTTCGAAATATTAACTAATTTTATTTTTTAAATTTAATAATCTTGTAGGTTGGTTCTTTTTTCTCGTCGACGACAGGTCGATCAAGATTCGTTTGATCGATTCGTGTACGGGGTTTGATGATGGTGCAGGTTGTGCCGCGTTTCGATTCGACACCCGGTATACACCGTGTCCCAGCTAAAATGTCCCCCTCTGTAAGAAATCAACAGCGCGATCGAGTGACTTGAAATTTGGTCACCCAGTATATTTGATGATGCTCACTCGAATTATGCTATTGAATAAATCGTAGATATACAGGGTCACATCGGAGTGCACCTCAACTATCTTATTTGAATAGGGACACCCAGTATATTATTCCATATTCAAGTAGAGTTCATTATTACAAATTCAACAATGCCGGGTTTGTGGGAATTTTTCAAACGACTAGGAAGATATGGCAAAAAATGGAACGATTCAATAAATATACAGTGAGGACCAAAAGTCCGTCGCCCCCCCGTAACTTCTTTATTCTACATATTACAAAAAAATGTTAAATACATAAGTTGTAGGGTTTCATTCGATCTCTTTAATGGTTTAAGTTTAATAGATACAGAGTGTCTCTAAAAAGCGCGGTGACTTAGAAGTTGATTTTTTTAAATGGGACACCCTGTATTTCATTGCATTATTACATTCTACGTTGAATTCTGAACAAGTTTTGATAAATGGTTTTCTATCAAAAAAGTTAATAGTTTTGGACTTATAAACACTTGTAAATAATTATTTCGACTACTTTTGCGCCAGTTCAATGAGAAAATCGTAACAAATGGATAACAAAAGTAGTCGAAATAATTATTTACAAGTGTTCATAAGTCCAAAACTATTAACTTTTTTGATAGAAAACCATTTATCAAACTTGTTCAGAATTCAACGTAGAATGCAATAATGCAATGAAATACAGGGTGTCCCATTTAAAAAAATTAACTTCTAAGTCACCGTGCTTTCTAGAGACACTCTGTATGAATGAAACTCAAACCATTAAAGAGATCGAATGAAACCCTACCACTTATGTATTTAACATTTTTTTGTAATATGTAGAATGAAGAAGTTACGGGGGGGCGACGGACTTTTGGTCCTCACTGTATAACACGATTGAAATCGAATTAAAAGAAAATGTTTAAAACCTCAACTGCTCAATATATCGTCCATTCTGCTGCAAACATTTCCTAGCTCTTTTCATAACGTTTATTCTGACCCGATGTATCACGTTGCGATCAATTTGTGCGCATAAATTTGTGATTTTCTCTTTCATTTCTTCCATATTCACAATTGGCGACTCATAAACCTGTTGTTCAAGTAGCATCACAGATAAAAATCAAGTGGGATGAGGTCTGGCGACCCAGCTGGCCAGTTGCTATCACCATCGAGGCAATTGGTGGTTATTAGATTTTAATTATTGTCTTTTCATTCGATTTCAATCGTGTTATATTGATGAAATCAAATCATATGAATTTTTTATTGAATCGTTCTATTTTTCGCCATATCTTCGTAGTCGTTTGAAAAAATCCCACAAACCTGGCATTGTTGAATTTGTAATAATGAACTCTACTCGAATATGGAATAATATACTGGGTGTCCCTATTCAAATAAGTAAGTTGAGGTGCACTTCGGTGTGACCCTGTATATCTACAATTTATTCAATAGCATATTTCGAGTGAGCATCATCAAATATACTGGGTGACCAAATTTCAAGTCATTCGATCGCGCTGTTGATTTCTTACAGGGGGGGACATTTTAGCTGGGACACGGTATACATTGAAAATTTCTGATTGAGAAATCGGTTTATTTTTTCTGGTGAGGATTTGAGGGGAGTCGAGTTGATGGATATGTGGGTACACCCTGTATGCGCGGACGAGAAAATTTGTGTAGCATTAATTTTTACTTTTTCCTTTTTTTGTGCATAAATAATATGGGTTATGGTTATAAATCCTCATTCATTAAATGGGATCATTTAATTGAAATGATATTTCGATTACTTGGTTGCTCATTGGACTTATTGTAGTCTGTGTACACCTAATTTTATGAAACAATATCCCTGGAAACTGAAATTTTGTTGAAATAAAATATTATTGAAAACACCATGCATTTTTAATGCTCTCGAGCCTAGTTGATATTCCCTCCCTCAAGAAGTTGGGATTACGTCAATGGGGAAGTTTCCTTCAGATGAATTTTTATGAAATAAGTTCGGAACTCTCTAGTTTTATGTCCACGTTGTACAGAATGGCGACCGATGAAGTCCAAGTCGTTTTTATTTTCAAATTGAAGCAATTTCTAATTTTCGGGACGGCAAACTGTGACGTACATTCTGAATCTAGTCTGAAAATAGCTGATGGTGAAGAATATAGCTCGCGAATAGCTAACGAATGAAAAAAATAGAAGAAGAAGCAAAACTGGTAAGCTAAAACATACATAACCACAAATGCACTCGGAGCAGGAATGCAGAAGGTAGTTGGCTTCATTCTGACAGGTTATGGTTGTGTTATTTACGCATTGAAATATCTCGAATAGAGCTCGATCCTAAACGAAAATATCATTGAATCAATGAATCACTATCGACTACATTCAATGATACTATCCTTCCTAATTTACTGCCATCGGTCAGAAGAGAATGAAGCCGACACCCATATGGCTCCTTCCTTTTGTTGTGCCTGTCAGTATTTTGAGTGGTGTGGACGGACTCGAAGTATTAGGCGCTGTTGCAAGATATAATCGGCAACTTTCCTAGAAAATTGATCCGTTGTATTAAGGAACGAATTCATTAGCGAAAAATGAATGACAAGTTATGAATAACATTGTAATATAACGATAGTGAAAAATTATAGATAATATCGCGAAATATCATAATTCATCTTTATTAGTAATCAACTTTATTCAGCCAATGAGAGATTTATGGGAATCATTTATAATACTTGACAAAGTAGGATTGAAGAACCTATTTATATCCCATTGCTGTTTTGATATGGTTATTATGCATTCAAAGAACAATTTCAGGAATTCCAGACATATTTATGATGTCGGAAACGTCGTACTGGCACAAGGAATCGTATTCTAACCCATAAACGCTTTCCACGCACGTGATACATAAAATATTTTATGTACCTCATCAGCACAGTTGACTTGCCCGCGAGAGAGAGAGAGAGTATTCTAAGGATCAGGTACTCATGAGCCCAACTGATTATTCTTCCGCACGATAAACGGAACCAGTCAACTTTTCAATCCTATCATTTCCAAGGATTATAATGTTCCTCATTAGGTCAGCTGATATTCCACCTACGCAAAAATGGAGCAAGCCAACTCGGCATATGACCAACGTTTCAATCCTGTTATTTTTTCAAAGATTCCTGATAAGCCCCGTATTCACCCGGCGCAAAACGAAGCAAGTCAAGTCGGAATGTGACAACTGTTTAGTCCTGTAATTTTTCCGAGGATTAAAATAGTCCTCATAGTACAGTGAATTTTCTTCCGCTCTAGTAATTGAGCAAGTCCGCTCGTTACATGACTGACTTTTCAATCCTGTAATTTCCTAAGGATTGAAATGTTTTCCAATAGCTCAATTGATCTTCTCCCAGAAGAAGAAACGGAGCGCCACCTCGGCGTATGACCAACTTTTCAATTGTATGTTTCCAAGAATCTATATGATTCTCATTAGCCCAGCTGATATTCACCCGCGCAAGAAATGGATCGAGTAAACTCGGCATAGGACCAACTTTTTGATCCTATAGATTTTTCATGGATTGAAATGTTCCTCATTAGCCCAGCTGATATTCACCCACGCATAAATGGAGCAAGTCAACCCGGAATATGACCAACTTCTTGGTCCTGTGATTTCCTGAATATCAAAATGTTTTCCATTGGCCCAATTGATCATCCCCTTACGCAAAGAATGGTTCAAGTCAATACGGTCTATGACAATCCAATAATTGTTCCAAGGATTAAAATGTTCCCGATTAGCCCAGCTGATATTGACCCGCGCAAGAGAGGGAGCAAATCAGCTCTGCCTATTATCAACTTTTCAATCCCATTATTTTTGCTGGATCGGAATGTTCCTCATTAGCCCAGTTGGTATTCTCCCGCGCGAGAGAGGGATTACCTCAACTCGCCATATGACCAACTTTTCAATCTTGAAATTTTCTCAAGGATCGAAATGTTCTCAATCAGCCCAGCTGATATTGACCCGCGCAAGAGAGGGAGCAAATCAGCTCTGCCTATTATCAACTTTTCAATCCCATTATTTTTGCTGGATCGGAATGTTCCTCATTAGCCCAGTTGGTATTCTCCCGCGCGAGAGAGAGAGATTACCTCAACTCGCCATATGACCAACTTTTCAATCTTGAAATTTTCTCAAGGATCGAAATGTTCCCAATCAGCCCAGCTGATATTGACCCGCGCAAGAGAGGGAGCAAATCAGCTCTGCCTATCACCAACTTTTCAATCCCATTATTCCTGCTGGATTGAAATGTTCCTCATTAGCCCAGTTGGTATTCTCCCGCGCGGGAGAGGGATTACCTCAACTCGCCATATGACCAACTTTTCAATCTTGAAATTTTCTCAAGGATCGAAATGTTCCCAATCAGCCCAGCTGATATTGACCCGCGCAAGAGAGGGAGCAAATCAGCTCTGCCTATCACCAACTTTTCAATCCCATTATTCTTGCTGGATTGAAATGTTCCTCATTAGCCCAGTTGGTATTCTCCCGCGCGAGTGAGAGATTACCTCAACTCGCCATATGACCAACTTTTCAATCTTGAAATTTTCTCAAGGATCGAAATGTTCCCAATCAGCCCAGCTGATATTGACCCGCGCAAGAGAGGGAGCAAATCAGCTCTGCCTATCACCAACTTTTCAATCCCATTATTCCTGCTGGATCGGAATGTTCCTCATTAGCCCAGTTGGTATTCTTCCGCGCGAGAGATGGAATACCTCAACTCGCCATGTGACCAACTTTTCAATCTTATTATTTCTCAAGGATTAAGATGTGACCCAATTAGCCCAGCTGATATTGACCCGCTTAAGAGAGGGAGCAAATCAACGTTGCCTATTACCAACTTTTCAATCCCATTATTGCTTCATATAAATATATATCCATTTTTGTATGTTCATAATTTATCTGAGAATATTCCTTTTCAACACTCTCATTATTTCAGCTGGATTGAAATGTTCCTCATTAGCCCAGTTGGTATTTTCTTGCGCCATAGAGACATTAGCTCAAGTCGACATATAACCAACATTTTAATCCCATAATTTGTTCAAGGATTGAACTGTTTCTCATCAGCATAGCTGGTATTCACCCTTGCAAGAAAAGAAGCATCAACTCGGATTATGATCAACTTTTCAATCCTACAATTTTCTGAGGATTTAAATGGACCTCATTGGCTCAGTTGATATTCTACCGCACAAGAAATTGAGTCAACTCGGCCCATGATGAACCTTTTAATCTCTCCTTGAATAAAAAACAGTGAAAATACTATATTTTTATTTACAATTCCATAAGCAAATAAATACGTTCGAATTATCCTAATATTAATATTTGAATTTCAGTTTTCTGAACAGGGGATTACAATGTTTCAGTACTGGGGAATTAACTTACCCTGAACTCCCTGTTCTGAATCTTCTAATTTATGGCTGCTACAACTTAAAACTAAGCAATTTTCAATTGCATATACTGCTATAGATCACAATGATAAAAAAATAAGTAGATTTAAAAATAGAACCTCTTCATTGGATGTAATCGAAGTGATCCTTGTATTTTTGCAACCACTGCTCCACCTGGTGGTAGTTTTTCTCCATCCATTCCACGTTGGCTTTGACAGTTTCAATGGCATTATCGAAAGCACTGGAAGTTGTACTGATGTTCTCCTTAATGTTATCTCTAAACCTCTTCAACTGAAAAGAATTTTTTTTCATATTTAGGGGCCTTGGGAGATTTCACCCCCAATTGAGAAAGTTATAGACCTAGAGTCTCAAGACTAAAGAGAATCTAGTGGAATTTCGAGGCATACTGTTGCAAAACCAAAAAGTTAATTTTTGAGATCACTCTGTAAATAAAAGAGATAAGGAGACAATTCGAGAACTGTCCTAAGATAATGAGATCATCTACATGCCTCTACTGTCAAAGTTGAAGAAAATGAGTTTTTATGCATTTGGGATACTTTTGAATTTCCGAAATTTTGCACAGTTTCGGGTAACACCCTGTAGCGATTTTATGTGAAGAACCTTATGTTTTGAAGAATTACGAGATTATAGCTGAAGGACTGAGCTAGCGAACAGTGTGATCCGAATTCAAATCGTTCAGAGCAGAAAAAAGTTATTCTTATTTCAACAGAGGCAACATTTTGGGATGCGACGAAATTAGTGCTGTGTAGTTCATAAAAGTGGCAACGCAACCTCCGTTTATTTAGTTTTTCATGATGGATCCACTTTAAAAATAAGTTATCATGGAGAGTTACCTTTCCATTGCTAGATATTCTGTGACAGCACTAGAGTAGTCGGGCAATAGTAAATTGCCCTGGATTGTTTTTTCGCGTCCTAATTGAGTAGGTATGTGCCTTTTCAGAGAAGCTTTTATATTTGACAGACCAGTGTCTGAGACAAGATGAATCCTCCACTCAAGGAGTAGAAGATTGTTGTATTTTTTTAGTCAAAAAGTTGCATCGCTTTTAAACAGGCTTGACGGGTTTTTGGATTCTTGGACCTTGCAGTACGTTTTTGATGGACTACCCTGTATAAAAAAATCAGAATCTATACTTTACCTCTGACAGTTGGAATTCGGTGCTCATTTGTGCTGCCAAAGATTTGATCATTTTCGCCACAATATTGAATCCATCACCATAGCTAAAAACAACAAAAATATAAACATGAAACCTCGTGCACGCGTATACAGGGTGGATCGGTTTAGAGCAAGATCGAAACTTGCCAGTGAATCAGACAAAAAAAGAAAAAAGTGAAACTTACTGGCTGAGTAGTTCGTTCCAATTCTTTCTCAGAAAGTCAAAAGCGATATTCGTGCCGATTTTGTTTCTTGCCACAGATTCGAATACTCTATCGGCGTCTTGTATACGAATACTAGTGTCGTTCGTTAATTTTCCCAAATATCTGCAAATTAAATATATATTAACCTTTAAATGCTGTTCCGAGTTAGTAAGAAGCGTGCTGCATAAGAAGAAAATTAATTGGTGAGAAAACATTTGTTAGTTACAGAAAACAACCACCAGAAAAGTACAAGAAATACGACTAATACGAAACGTAAAAAAATACAAGAGAAAATTGAACAAATGGAAAAATTATTGGACAAAGAAAACCATTTAGTTGTATAAAATTTACGATAATGAGAGAAGTACTAAATATACGAACGAATATAAATAGAAATTCATAAGAAATTGAAAATACGATATACAATTGATAAGTAGGAATATGAAAAATATTCGGATATGTTGAATATGAAAAGTACGATCAATAGTGGAATACAAAAAAAAAACTAAAAATACGACAGATACGAAATAAACTACGCAACACTAATTCGCCGCACAATTTTCCCTCTGTTGCAATATGAATAACTTTTTTCTGCTTTGAATGATTTGAATTCGGATCACACTGTTCGCTAGCCCAGTCCTTCAGCTATAATCTCGTAATTCTTTGAAACATAAGGTTCTACACATAAAATCGCTACAGGGTGTTACCTGAAACTGTGCAAAATTTCGGAAATTTCAAATGTATCCCAATTAGAGAAAAACTTTTTTCCTCGTCAACCGATTTTTGGAATCTCAGGTTCATTTTGGAACTCAAACTTCAGATGAAGAGATATAAAGATCAGAATTGACTCAAGATGAATATTATACAGTGTGTCTCACTTCTAAAGGAAGCACCCCTGTATTTTTCGTAATTGTTGAGTTAGAATTCTGAAATTTGCAAGAGCGGTAGATATATTGAAAATACACGCTATGACCAAGTGGATTCGTCTCCAGTGATATACACTGCTCGCCAACAGCCATGAAACCACTCATAAAAATTATATAAGGAGGCAAGATAGGTTGAAAATCAAAATTCAGAACTCTACCTTAAAAATTACGTGAGATATGGGGGTGCTTCCATGAGAAGAAGAAAATTTTCTAGGAAAAATATGTATAGTCAGTGAATTGGACGTCCTGATTCCGAAATCGAAGTGATTTTCAACCTATCTTGGCTCCTAATACCATTTTCCGGTAATTTAGGTGGTTCCATGGCTTTTGACGAGCAGTGTTTATCACTGGAGATGACTCCACTTGGTCATTGTGTTTATTTTCAGTATATCTGCCGCTCCTGTGAGTTTCAGAATCCTTACTTAACAATTACGAAACATACAGGGGTGCTTCCATTAGAAGTGAGACACACTGTATAATGTTCATCTTGAGTCAATTCTGATCTTCATATCCCTTCATCTGAAGTTTCAGCTTTGAAATGAGATTTTAAAAACGGGTTGACAAGGAAAAAAGTTATGACTGCAAAACCAGAAAGTTAATTCTTTGAGATCACTCTGTAAATAAAAGAGATAAGAAGACAATTTGAAAAATGGTCCTAGGTAATGAGATCATCTTCATGCCTCTGCTGTCGAAGTTGAAACAACAAAGTTTTTACTCATTTGGGAAATCTTTTTGAAAATTCCAAAATTTTTCTGTTTCAGGTGACACCCTGTAGCGATTTTATATCAAAAACCTCATGTTTTTAATCCGAATTCAAAATGTTCGAAGCAGAAAAAAGTTGTTCATATTTTAGCAGGGACAAAATTTTGGGGTGCGACGAAACTAGTGTTGCGTAGTTTATATAAAGCTCAGTTGCAGATTAAAAATAGCCTTCGCATAATTATGAAATTTCAGCAGATACCTGGATAACAGCCACCGCAATCTGGTGCAGCCCAACGCATCCAAAAGCATATTTTTCTCAGACGGCGTTTCCACCTCCAAGTATTTCCTGTAAGCGAAATCCCACTCGATTTCACCGCCCTCTCTGATCGCCGTACAATAAACGATCTCCCGAAGATTTGGCGCTATTCTAAAAAAGAAACAACATAGTTGAATAATGAGATTCCGAGATCATCAAAATTTTGCGATTTTTTATCATATCTTCCATATTTTTCCTCAACATTGGTTTATGGATTACTCTGTTGGATTACTGGATTTGACTATTGAATTAATAGGCCAATCACTCGGTTCCTGGTTTTTAATTTTACTGGATTTACTCGATTATTAACTATTTAATTCAATTACCCCATTACTGTTATATATAACTTCATTATTAGATTTCTCGAATACCCGCATTTATTCGAACACTAAATTACCGACTTGATTACTAGACTAATAGATTTTTTGAAATCAAATCACAGAATTAGCCTGACAGAAGTGACATCAGATATTTGATTACTTCAAAAGAATGATAAAGATGCCTACAACGCAGGTGTCCCTACTGTTAAAAACTCAAAATTTCACGTCGACAATTTTCAGATTTCAAAATAATGTAATATCTTCTGAATATTGATTCGTCCTTTCTTCTGTCACAGAAAAAAATAGTGTATTATACACGGGAAACAATAGATTTTAGCTCACGGTTTTCTGTCTCTCTCCGCTGCGCGTCGGGAGACAACACAACCTGGAGCTAAAATCTACTACTTTTTTCCCTTGTATAATGAATAACTAAACTTTCCATTCAGTGCAAGAAATCAACATCAATAATAACATTCATCGCATCGGAGAGTCATCGCGTAAACGAACAAACCGAAGCGGCCCCGAGACCGAACCTTGCGGCACACCCAGCACTCACTTGGCGCCCGTGATCATCCACTGCCTGAAACGGGTCCGGGACTCGTGGGCGCACCTCGAATCCGGGCTGCGACACGACCATTCCAGCACGGTCGACCGGATGCGCCTCGTTATGTAATCGTCCACCGGGTCCTCGAAGGTCACCCTCTCGTAGGTGGTCTTGAAAATGGCTCGATGGTACTCCTGAATAATACGAATTTATCACTTAATTAAGGGTTTTAGTGATTCGATTGCCCAATTACTCAATCACACAATCATTCGATTACTCAATTACTCAATCGACCAATTAGACGATTCAATTGATGAATTACTCAATCATTCGATTACTCAATTACCTGATTATTCGATAACTCAATTACTCAATTAATCGATTACTCGATTCACTCAAATCATTCAATTATTCAATCATTGGCTTAATAAATTACGCAATTACTCAATTATGCGACTATTCAATTACTCAATCGTTCAATTAGTCGATTTCTCAATTACTGAATCATCCAATTAGACGATTACTCAATTACTGAAATACTTGATCATTCGATTACTCAATTATTAAATCATCCAATCATTCGATTACTCAATTATTCAATCACCTCATCATTCGATTAATCAATTACGCAATCACTCAGTTACACAATCATTCAATAATTCGATTACTCAATTACCTGATTATTCGATTACTCAATTACTCAATAATTCGATTACTCGATCACTCAAATCATTCAATCATTCAAGCATTCGATTATTCAATCACGCAATTATTCAATTATGCGACTACTCAATTACTCAATCGTTCAATTAGCCAATTTCTCGATTACCCAATCATCCAATTAGATGATTACTCAATTACTGAATTACTTAATCATTCAATTTCTCAATTATTAAATCATTCAATCAATCGATTACTCAATTACTCAATCACTCAATCATTCGATTATCCAATTACGCAACCACGCAATTACTCAATTATTCAATAATTCGATTACTCCGTTACCGAATTACCTAATTATTCGATTACTCAATAACTCAATTACTCGGTTATTCGATCACTCAAATGATTCAATTATTCAATCATTCGATTATTAATTACGCAATTACTATATTTATTCAATTATTTGATTACCTACTTAACTATTTAATTATTCAATTCCCCTATACTGAATTACTCAATCATTCAATTATTCGATTACTCAATTACGCAATTTGATGAGTCTCAATTTCGAAATTTCTAAATACAGATCAAGAAAAATAAGCTTTAAAATTTCGAAACTTTTTCGTCTCAGAGGCGTACCTACCAATAATTATTTTCGAGGGGTTCAAAACATTTAAGAAGGCAGGATTTCGAAATTCTCGACATTATCAACAGAAAAATGAAAATTACGACAGGGGCGTACTAAACATTATTTTTAAGGGGTTCAGAAGAAACATAGAAGGCAGAAATGTGAAATTCCTTCAACACTATAAACAGAAAAATGGAATTCAAGACTTCAGGAGCGTACCAGAAATTATTTTTAAAGGGTTCATAAAAATGGAAATGGATGAAATTCGAAATTCTCTCGACACTATCGACAGGAAAACGAAAATCACGACTTCAGGGGCGTACCCAGAATTTTTTCTAATGGGTTTCAGAATGAAAAAACACAACTGTAAAATCTTCGACACCACTTGGGTAAAAACCATAATAGCGACTACAGAGACGTACGAATTTTTTTTTCAAAGGGTGATCGCTATTAAAAAAATCACAAAAAATTACCTCGAATAGGCCGAAAGCGGGCGTGGCGGACAAAATATCACTTAGAAACTTCAACTTTTCCAAAGCCACCCACGTCGGCACGAACATGATGCCCTCGTCGAGCACCGCCATCTTGGCGATCAGCTTCAAAGGCACGTGATAGCTGAGCAGATTGGCGCGCGCCAATTCGGTCGAATCGGCGATCAGCTGCGCCCTAACGGAGGGCGGCAAATCCATCACGTGATCGACCAGGCTCAGCCAGTTTTTCTCGTCATAGTTGACGATGAAGTAACCTGAAAATCACCTGAAGATGATGGACGGTTCGATTGGGAAACAATTCATATCATTTTATACACTGAATGTTACTATTAGAACTTTTTTGATAAATTGAAACACTTGCAATTTTTTCACACCCTGGAATTTTCTACTGAACTCTTCAACATTCTCGAATACTATACAACCTTCAGAATAATTCTGGAACATTTTAGATAATTCTAGCATATTCTCGAAGCTTCTGGAATATTATTGATTGATTGATTGTCTTTACTGCTCCACGAAACATACTAACAAAGTGTTTTCGAGTATTTTATATGATATTACTAGCAGACCTCGAAAACGTTGCTTTGCTATATACATTATTTCCCTTTCCAAATTTTTACAAAAGAATCATAATCTCTCCCGACCCCGAAAACCCCCAGATAACAATTTTGAGAAGAATCGTATTATAATTACAATATTCGTCCGCCATATTGGTTCCGCCATCTTGAATTTCCAAATTCTTCCCGAATTTTCAAATTCTGACGAAAGAACGAACAAACAATCAAATCTTTCCTGTATATTATATTATCAAATAAATGAATGAACAAAATTGATGATTGCAGCTGAATAGAAGAATTTCCAAACAAAAAATTTACAAAAAGTAGTTAGAGGTGAGTTTTCTGTATTGAAAATAATCTTCCACATCCTGTATATCTCTGGGGCACAGTTTTGACAATATCCAATCGATGTATTTACCTGTTTTGTCAATATTCAAGAGATACCATTCCGTCAAATCGACACTCTCTTCGATCTCGTATTCGCCTCTCAGCCAAAATTGCGGTTTGGTATTCGAAAAATTCGTTCCGTTCGGCGAAAATGCCGTGAAAGACAACGGAATCCACCATGTAGATTTCTCCTCTTTGTCTGTCAAATAAAAGCGCCTCTGAAATACCACAAAGAAAAAAAATTAGGAACGCAAGTGAAAATCCAGGACAATTTACTATTGCCCAACTACTCTAGTGCGGTCACAGAATAACCAGCAACAAAAAGGTAACTCGTCATGGTAAATGAAGAGTAGAAATTCAAAAGGGTCTAAGTGCCGCTTTCACCAAATTTTAGATTTCACTTATTATGGGGTCTATGTGCCAAGGCCAATACCATACAAAACGGTCAATGTGCCATTTGCCATAGGCAGTAAATATTTTGTGATGTAGAAAGCTGCGCAGGGTCAAAGCGTCAGTACTTGTTGTACGTTAAAAGGGTCTAAGTTCCAAATAATTCACATTGTTAGTATACAAGATGGACGCACGCGGTGATGTACAAGCCGGCAATATTGCAGTAAATAGGTGGCAGAATGGTACTGAGAGTGTTAGAAATGAAATAAAAAGAAGCAGAGTTAGTGGCTTACATACAAATTATAAAAATGTCCTTATACCGGCTAAAAATCCACCTGAACAAGTGGTAAGCAATTTTAACCTCAAAATCAGTAAACTAAGTATACTCACATTATGCTCTTGTTGCAGGAAACTTGTTCTTGTAAATATTCCTACAAATCTTTATCATGCAACCAGAGAAACTCATTATTCCAACAATTTTATGATGTTGCAAATCACGATAAGCAGATTACTTTTCTTATGGGGCAGAGCAGAGAAGCTCAAAAATCTGAAGGTCCGTTTTATGAAGATCTCATAGAAAAAACAGAATCACAGTAAAAGACTACTCTGGACATAGACCCTTTTCACGATTTCTTGTTCTTGGCACTTTGGACCTTCTGGCAGTTGTCATGTTTGAGTTAGTGTTTTTCATATAAGTTTCTGTTTTTTATATGTAACTATGTATGTAGGTAGTTCATATGATCGTGTATTCTGTACTCAATAAACATTTCTATAGAGTTTTTTTTATTATTTTAATTTGTTAGGCATGTTTTATGTAATATCTCAGTTCGAATTTTTTGGCACTTACATCCTTTTGATTTTCCACTCTTCAAATATTTCAAAGTGATCCACCATGAAGAAATGAATATAGTGGGTGGTAACCTCACAACACATTCTCACTTGGTGTATAACTTTCACTTCCGCACCCCTAACATGTCACATTTTTTTTCAAATCTACTTTTTCAAAGACGAGTTAACTTTTTCATCAATGGATATTCTGTGTTCGCTAACAATAAGCGGAAAATAGTCTATCACCCCAATTTATTTTCTCCTTCCCATCATGTATGCCCTGATCGCAAGTAATGGGGAAGTTTTCTATATTGAGGATTTCACCTCACTGTGAAGTTTGTAAAAAAATAATGAATACGTATTTTTTCTTTTTTTCGTAAGATCATATTTCACTTCAGAAAAAATAAATAAAAGAGGAACTTGGCTCCTCCACCATTCCTATGAATTACTTTCTGAAAATTTACATTCACACAAAGTTAAAATACGATTCCCTGTGCCAGTACGACGTTGCCGACATCATCAATATGTCTAGATTTCCGGAAATTGTTCGTTGAATGCATAATAACTATATTATAACAGCAATGGGATATAATATGGGTTCTCCAATCATACATTATCAAGTATTATGAATGATTCCCATAAATCTCTCATTGGCTAAATGAAGTTGATTACTGATGAAGATAACTTATGATATTTTGCGATAGTATCTATAATTTTTCACTATCGTTATATCACAATATGTTATTCATAACTTGTCAGTCATTTTTTTGCTAATGAATTCGTTCCTCAATAAAACGGATCTATTTTCTAGGAAAGTTGCAGATTATATCTTGCAACAGCGCCTAATACTTCGAGTCCGTCCACACCACTCAAAATACTGACAGGCACAACAAGAGGAAGGAGCCATGGGTGTCGGCTTCATTCTGACCGATGACAGTAAATTAGGAAATATAGTACCATTGAATGTAGCCGACAGTGATTCATTGATTCAATGATATTTTCGTTTAGGATCGAGCTCTATTCGGGTTTTTTTCAATGCCTAAATAACAAAACCATAACCTGTCAGAATGAAGCCAACTACCCTCTGCATTCCTGCTCCGAATGCATTTGTGGTTAGGAATGTTTTTGTTCATCAGTTTTACTTCTTCTTCTATTTCTTTCATTCGTTAGCTATTCGTTAGCAATTCGCTAGCTATTCGCTAGCTATATTCGTCACCATCAGCTATTTACAGACTAGATTCGGAATGTACGTTACAGTTTGCCGTCCCGAAAATTAGAAATTGCTTTAATTTGATGATGAAAACGACTTGGACTTTATCGGTCGTCTTTCTGTACAGCCTGGACATAAAACTGGAGAGTTCCGAACTTATTTTTTGAAAATTCATCTGAAGAAAACTTCCCCATTTAGAAACATATTTTGTAAAAATGACAGATGCTCAATATTCGCTACCTAAATTAGGAAACAGTAACACCAAATGTCGAATACGATTTTCATTGGGTGAATTCAGTTTTTCTGTGTTTATTCTCACCTGAAATATATGCAGCTTATTTTTTTCGTAATCCGCCATGCAGTGGACCACCGGAAATCCTGCTCTTTCCGTCCACGTTGTCATAATATCTTTGACTGTCTCGTTTTTCAACAATATTTCAGATTTGTGAGCTTCCTCGGTCAATGATGCGAACAAATCGTTTCTGTCCGCGTTGCTGTTATTGAATTTTCTCAGGAAATTTATCAGCCCTTTCTTGAACGTTTCCTCGCCCAAAAAGTGGTTCATCATCCTTATTATAGATGCCCCTTGAAAAAAATTACAAAATGTACGACCTATACATGCAAAATAATCAAAGGTGAGGCATTTTTTCTCATCAAATTAGATATGATAATCAAAAATTGACCACAGAAATAACGAAGTTCATCGATAGAATTGGCCCTAGTACGGTCCTGGTATACAGGCTGCCCGTTTTTCGAGCTTCACCAAGGGGATATCTCAGTTATTATAAGAGATACGAGGTCGGTTGAATTCGAAGGAAAAGAAAATTTGTGATTTTCGTTTTTATTTTTTAAGCGAAAACCAAAAAACCTAGACGTTTCTGACTAGGACATTCTTGAAGCACTTTTCCACAAGGAATCTGAATCAGTAATTGTATTTTCCATGACGTTGTAACTTTGGCAGCAAGAACGTCATGGAAAATACAATGATATATTCAGATTCCTAGTGAAAAAGTGCCTCAAGAATGTCCCAGTCAGAAACGTCTAGGTCTTTTGGTTTCCGATTGAGAATATAAAAACGAATATTATAAATTTCCGTTTTTTTCCTATAACACCCTGTATTTACCATATCGGATGGTACAGGCTTTTCTCCTTTTTGTTCCTCCAAACACCACCAAATTAACGAAAATTCGCGGTGTTGGATGATTTCCAAATAAAAACATTTCCGTGGTCAAAGGAAATGATGCTGTTGCACGTTGGCGACCCTCGCAATGAATAAAAAAGCATGTAAACAAGTCCATTATTTTCGTAAACGTGTTACATTGTTTGACAATGCACAGAAAACACAGTTATTGAGAAAGAGGATCCGATGACGAGAGCTAGAAAAACAAAATTTCAATGTGGACGGTACTAGGGAGACCGGGAATCGGTCGAATCACCGAACAGATTGTTTTAAAATTTATGAAATGTTCAATTGATAACATCTCCGTTATTATTCAACTTTTATTGAGGCGATAGGTACCTGGTAGGTTTGTTTAATTCAGTTAATTCTATATCCTTTGAAAAAAAAGACCCACCTTTGAGAACACCCTGTGTCGTGATAGGGCCAAGCCTGTAAGGTTTCATCCAGCAGACCGACCATATTCGATACATATCGAGATTTAGCCGACTCTGGCATCCAACATACATGACATATTATTATGATAGACGAGATATGACAAAAAGATAGTGAAAAGTGATAGGAGACAGCTGACAAGTGATACATATGACAAGTGAAAGCTAGCACATGAGAAGTGACAAGTAACATATATGACAGGCGATATACTATGACACATGACAAACGACTCAAGACAGCTGACAAGGTGAGAACTGATAAGTGACAGGTGACAAGTGACAGTTGAAAATGACAAAAAGATAGAAAATCCGAGAGCATGTAATGTTTGTGTGATATTTTACCTTTCGCATATGAAATGTCGTCAAAAGTTTGTCTGATTTGACGGCTATTTTTCACTTCGAACGAAATCGGCCTGGACGAAGCTAGAGCGTCAGCTGCCATAGCTCTTTCGGTTTCGCACGGTAGAAATTCGTCTTCGATTCTCCACGTGGGTTGGGCCTGAGAAAAAATGGAGAAAAACAATCAATCTACTTTATCACAATCAAGATTTTCATGATCGAAAAAGTATCAAAACTACCAAACCAGAAATATTTCGAGAAAATCGTCGATAGTTTTTCAAATGGCATACCCTGTATATTATTTCAGAGTCAGAATTTCGACATGTATGTAGCTGGATTCTAAAATGATGATTGCTGAATTTCACCGATTTTTTTGATATATTATTAGTCTAGCTGACTCGGCAAACGTTATTTTGGTACATGTATAGATTATTTCTGGAAAATATTTTTCAGTTAAATATTTATCAACACACTTTTATTATTTCATTTTTATACTTCTTTTCAGTTTGGCTATCCATAAAAGCGTGTTTGTTTAGTTTCTCAAACTACTATTAATTTCCTACTTCTTTTCAGTTTCGCTATTTATGAAAGCTTTTGTCATTAGTTTTTCAGCTGGATACGCCACCTTGAATTTTTCCATTTTGACGAAAAAATCATAATCCTCGACCCCGAAAACCCCCCGATACCAATTTTGAACGGAATCGGATCATAATTACAAAACTCGTCCGCCATATTGGATACGCCATATTACATCCGCCATCTTGAATTTCTGAATTTTAATACTTATTATCATATTCCGGACTAGTGAATGCGAAATATGGTGTTATATGAATCTTTCAAATTTCAAAATTTCATATAGATATAGTGAATTTTTTGAAAAAAAAAAGTTTTGCTTACATAATCAACCCCTTTATATTCCATGTAGGTGGCGAAACCTTCTTTCAACCACAAGTCGTCCCACCATTTGGGCGTGACCAAATTGCCGAACCACTGACGGGCGATTTCGTGTGACAAAACGGTCGCTATTGTTCGTTTGTCGTCATTGGTCGATTCTATCGGATCGAAAAGAAGACTACTTTCCCTAGAAAAAAGAATTGAAAAAATAAAATACCTATAAGAAATTAGTTAAATTCATTATTGGGTATTTATTTCAACGCCACCCTGTACAAAACTAACAATGATTACAGCATTAAATATTAAAAGAATATAGTTGAGTTCCGCTACTTCTGTATATTAATTGTCATTATTTGAAAGAGGAAGATGTTCCTTGAATCTAGTTACAATGAATCTTCTAGTTTGACCAACACATTTTTGGTAGCAGTCATTTCAGACAATTTGATGAATTTTTGATTCCTTCGAGGTTAACAAGATTGGAAAGATAATGTTGACAAATTCGAAATCATTATTATTCAGAGAGCTATATCGAAGATAGATAATGTATCCTTATTTTTTTATCCTTCAATTCTAGTTTCCCGATGAGTGCGATATGTTCCTTAAACCTAGTTTCATCATAACTTCTAGTTTTGCCTACTTAATAGGTTGGGGCGAAATTGTGAATCAATTTTAGTTTCTAAGTGTACTTTATGTTCCTTATTCTGATCGCATTGTATCTTCTAGTTTGGACTACCTATAATACGTCTGAGCGGAATTGTGACAGTGTGTATTTTTTTTTTCAATTGCGTTGAGATGTTCCTCAAACCGAGTTTCACGAATCTTTTAGGTTGACCGATATAATAAGTTTGAGCAAAATTATGACACTATGTTTTTTTTTCGATTACATCGAAAACCAAGTATGTTGAATGGAATTTCAGAAACAAGGCTATTGAAAGATTGTTGATAATAAGATTCGAAACCACTACGTTCCAGAAAGCCATACAGCGTTTTAGATTACTCCCACGTTTCCATAATCAATTTTAATTTCTTGATATGTGACAGTGTGTCCAATATGTCCGAATGCATTGAGATGTTCATTGTAGTTCCATAATATCATCTAGTTCGGCCTATGTAATACGTTCGCGCGAAACTGTGACAGTGAATCTATTTTTTCCGATTGCATTAAGATGTTCCTTGAACCCAGTCTCATTGAATCTTCTTGTCTGGCCTACCTAATAAGTGTGTCATTTTTTCCCTAGTGTATCTATTTTTTCCGAATGCATTAAGATGTTCCTTGAACCTATCCTCATCAAATCTTCTAGTCTGTCCTACATAATAAGTTTCGACAAAATTGTGCAGTGTGTCAATTTTTTTCCTAGTGCATCTATTTTTTCCGAATGCATTAAGATGTTCCTTGAACCTAGTCTCATCAAATCTTCTAGTCTGTCCTACACAATAAGTTTTGACGAAATTGTGCAGTGTGTCAATTTTTTTCCTAGTGTATCTATTTTTTCCGAATGCATTAAGATGTTCCTTGAACCTAGTCTCATCAAATCTTCTAGTCTGTCCTACATAATAAGTTTTCACGAAATTGTGCAGGGTGTCAATTTTTTCCTCACTAAGTACGTTGGTTGGTGTTTTAGTGATCGAACAGTTGACAACAAGATCAATGATCACTGATTTTTTTCCATTTTACCTGAACGTGATCAGTCCCCAATTCTCCATGGCGCTGAAACCAAACTCAGGCACAGCCACGACATCTATTTTGGGCAAAGGAAACTTAATATCAAAGTAGCTTTCGAAGTAGCGAAGGATTTTGGGGGCGAGTTGGGCAGCATAAGAAGTCTGAGAGAGGAGACTTTGCCTGGACCAAACTTTTATGGATGCGTCCGAAGACGAACCAGGTTTCAAATCTGACACCATGAAAGCCACCAAATAAGTGGATATTTTGGGGGTTGGAGGGTAACTGTCCCAGAACCAATCAGAATTATTTCCTCTGAAAAAAAAAATATATATAACGATATCATGCTGGTGAAAATTTTTATGGATAAAACTCACAATTTACTAGAATTTGCTAACGGCATATTTGCTAAGGTGGTCATATCACGTGGCCTCGCTAGGCTAATGGCGAAGTTAGCCTTGAATGAAGGCTCGTCAAAACAGGGAAAGGCTCTTCTGGCATCTGTCGGAGAAAATTGGGTACTGGCAATCACCCTGTAAACAAAAATTAGTTCATAGTAGATCATATATTGAGGAAAACCTCAGATATTTATGACATACGTTGGGCAAACATTTTGAAAAGTAGTTACAAGATTCAAAGAACATTTTCGAGCTCACCTTTCGTGGCCTGCTTGATCGTGATATCGACTCTTGTAGAATCCTTGTAAATGTCCGTTCAACTCCCCCTCAAACTCCAGATCGAGGTCGTAGAGTTTCTTTTTCTCCATTTTTGATTCCAACTTTATGCGATACCGATCACCCTTCAAGTAATCCTGTCCTTTGACAGGTATTGGACTAGAATTTGGCTCTTTCGATTTTACGACGACTGATTGTGGTGATATTGTTATGCTGCGGACGTGGAATATTATTTCGTCTGTTTCTTCTAATACGTGCAACGCCATTGTTATTGTGCCAGAAGTGGAGGAGTTTTGGAAATCTGGACGAATTCGAATACTGAAAAAAAAAAGAATTACAGTGCAACTTTTCGGAGAACTCACGTAAGTAATTTCTTTAGTTTAACAATTACACTACTGCACTGTAATGATTTATCACCCTGTTGTGTTTCTAGTAACTATATTTGTGAATCAGATTTATTTTTAATCACCTGATGAAGGGTCGAGAATGTTCTGAAATATTCCAGTATGTTCAAGAATGTTCTTGAATGTTCTCGAATGTTTCAGTGATCTAGAAGTTTCCAAAATGTTCTGAACATTTTCAGAACGTTCTATTGTATTCAAGAATGTTGGAGAATATACTGAAAAATTCCGCGATGATACACAATCTTCCAGAAAATTAAATAATTCTTCAGAAGGTTTTGAAATACTCTCGAATGTTCCAGAATGTTAGAGAGTCTTTCAGATGGTTCGAAAATATTCTGGAATGCGCTAAAATGTTCCAGAATATCGAGAAATAATCAAAAATGATCTGGAACCATGAAGAATGTCAAATATGATTTTCCAGAAGTTCCGAGAATATTCTGGAATGTTCCAGTATATATGAGATTATTTGGGAATGCTCGAGAATGTTTTGAAGTGTTATAGAATTTTGCAAAGTGTTCTAGACATTCTCGGAATGTTCTAGAGTATTCAACAACGTTTAGGAATGTAGTAGAAGATTTCCGGGTGTTAGGAAATCTTTCAGAAAATTATAGAATGTTCCAATAAACAGTGATTCATAAAGTAGAAAAAGATGGAAAATGGCCTACGAGTAGTCACGTGACTTTTACCTCTTGAAGAATGTATATTATTGCCAGGAGAAGGTTCTATGAGAGAAAAAAATAAGAAATTCAAGATGGCGGATCCAATATGGCGGACGAGATTTGTAATTACAATCCGATTCTATTCAAAATTGGTATCTGGGGGTTCTTGGGGTCGGAGACTATGATTCTCTTGTCAAAATCGGGAAATTCAATATGGCGGATCCAATATATGGCAGAAGAGTTTTGTAATCATGTCCCAATTCTATTCAAAATTGGTATCTGAGGATTTTCGAGGTCGGAGATTATGATGCTTTCATCAGAATTGGAAAATTCAAGATGGCGGATCCAATATTACGGACGAAATTTGTAATTATTATCATATTCTGTTCAATATTCGTATTTGGGGGTTTTCGGGTTCGGAGATTATGATTCTTCCGTAAAATTTTCGGAACTCAAGATGGCAGATAAAATACGGCATACGAGTTTCTTAATTATGATCCGATTCTATTTAAAATTGATCTCTGGGGGTTTTCGGGATCAAAGAATATGATTCTTCCGTCATAATCAGGAAATTCAAGATGACGGATTCAATATGTCGAACGAGATTTGCAATGAATAGTGTTTCGAAATACTAATAAAACACGCTTAGATAGATAGCCAAACTGAAAAGAAATAGAAAGTAAATAGTAGGTTGGAAAACTAGAGAGATAGATTACAGAACTGAAAAGAAGTAGAAAATACATAGTAGTTTGAGAAAACAAGAAAACACGCTCTTATGGTTATAGTCGAAGTGTTTCCTTCCTAAACGCCAAGCTGCGCCTAAGTGGTTCAGGACCGCATGACTACCTGCAGACAGGTTTCGAGCTGTTGGCTCTCATCAGTACAAGGCGCCCTGTTCTTCGAATTACTCTCTATTTGTGACCATTGCATTCCACTTTGATTATTTGGCATTTTCCTTTTTCTATGTTCTGGTTTCCACGAAAAGGTATATGCTGTAATGTTCAGAGAACATCGTGGGAACCAAGGGAAATGAATTTCTGGAGGTTATATGCCTCGGGGAAGACCTCCCTTGGCAATGTATTTCAGAGCCTCGCTGTTCGTTGGATGAACGAGTCTTTGGAAAGAGGTGTTCTGCAGGTCTCCAAAGTGACCACGAAGGGGTGCGAAGCCTCAACTCGACGGGGTAATCTCGCGGGGACGGCCAAGGGAGGAACAATTGTTGATATTTCAGGAGAGCATCGTCCAAGAAAATATCTATAAAATAGAGCCAGATCACCAACTTTTCTACGGTGTTCCAGAGAAGTGAGTGAGTTTGTGAGCGAGGTATCACCTATGAGACGAATTGCCTTTTTTTGGACTGAATCGAACAGTTTCAGGGTATGTTTGGGTGCCGCACTCCAAATATGGGAACAGTATTCCAGGACAGGTCGCATCTGTGCCTTATAGATCATAAGCAGCTGACTGGAAGTGAAATAGCTGCTGGCCCGAAGAAGAAAACCAAGTTATTGGGATGCACTTTTAGCAATTGATCTCACGTGATTTTCCTAGTTGATATTCCATAATGTTCTATGATCAACTGACCTGTACAGCGTCGGCTCCAGGCTTCTAGGCAGTCTTTCGTCTACCTCACCATCCACCACACCATTGATGGCGAGGTTCTTAGGGGTCCTGGGTTCGGTGATGGCTTCTGGGGCTGTCTGTCCATCGCAGTACCTTGGTACCAGGAAGAAAACCACCAAGCCTGCTAGAAGAGCCATGAGGAGAGCTCCCACGGCCATTAGGGCGCAAAGGGGTCTGGATATCACTAGGCCCTTGTGGTTGGGTTGGTTGATGGTGTACTTTTTTTGGTTGGTGTTGTTTTCTAGGTCGACGGTGGTGGGTACACCTGGAAAGAGAGTTGGGGGTGACAACTTTTTACGAAACTTTCATTATTTAGTGGGAATTTCAAAATTTTTATTAGGTGAGGATTTCAGACCTCTTATTAAGTGAGAGTTTCACATCATTAATTAAGTGAGAATTTCATACTCAGTACATAACAATTATGATTTTTCGAAGTGGGAGTTCCACATCTCTGAATAATAACTCTTTATTCACATCTGTTTTCTCTAAATATTTACATAATTAATGTTTGATTACACTCCAGATGATACTCTCTTTGTTTGGGAAAGTTCAATACATCAAAGTTATGGTTTTATAGGAAATTTCCAAGACATAATAGATTTTTTTACGCCGGCGGAAGTAGAAGTTAGTTTTTCTGGTAATAAAAGAGGGGCAGAAGTCTTGTATTACTCCCTAGGGATGAAACGTCATCACATGTCCTCACTGAGTGTCCAGCACTGACGCATCAGAGGAGGGCTGTCCTTGGCAATATAATTTTGAGGCCAGAGGACGTAAAAGAGATTCAGCTGAGGAAGCTGCTGAACTTCTCCAAGGCAGTCGGCATATCCAGCTGAATGTCGTAACATGTGGGCGCACAATGGGCCCCAATAAGGAGGCCCACGTGCAGGGGGTTCACCCGCCCACCAGTGCTTCGAAGAAGAAGAAGAAGAAGACTCCCTAGGAAGATAATGTGACATATTTTCTCCCTAGGGAGTTTGAACCAAATTACATTTTCCGAATAGCTCTACGCTTTCTTTTCGGAACACTTTTCTCTGAAGGTGGTATAAGCTGCATCATACAGATTTCTAGATGTTTCTAGATATCATTGGTAGCAAGTTAAGAATCACTGCACAAGCAGTATCAATAGTTTCTTGGGGTTTTCCCTCGATTTCTTGTTCAAAAACCGTTAACCATTTTCAAAGCTGTTTCCATAAATTTCAGTTTGATATTTGCTGTCACCATGGGTTGTCGAATTCGACAAATTATACTACTACTAATTATGACAAAACACTTTGACCAAATTTTCATTCTTTCTCAATTTTTGTGTTTTTGCCAGCGTACAAAATAGTATACAGGGTGGTTCAGGTTTCAGAGCACAAACTGAAATGGGAGGTAGATCTCATCATTTTAATCAGAAGAGTTCATATATACATCAGTTCGATCTCGTTCAGTAGCGGAGCTACAGGGGGTCAAAGTTTAATTATTTTTTTCTATTAATTGAAATATCTCGCTTACTTTTCAAGATATCATTTTGAAATTTGGTGTGGTCGATACTATTTAGAATATCATCATTTCAAGCCATTTTAAGATTCTCAAAATCTACAGGATGGTGCGCTTTTGGGGGTAGAGGCTTCTTTATCCCCCCCAAACTTTTTCGTAGTACGCCTCTGGCATCTTCTTGTGATCAAATTGTGTGGATCGTTCAATTTAGAGGCTTTTTTGTTTCTCAATTTTTTTCGAGAAACGAACTGTTTTTGAGATAATTGAGCATATACGTTCTGAAACATGTTAATTTTGCCTATGTTTCGCTCAAATTTCATTTAACTGAAAAAAAACTCGACTTTCTACCCTCCGTATTCCCGTAACTGATCCAGATTGGACTAGTGATTGCAATTTTAGTGAGTACATCTCATTGTATTCTCAACGAATTTTGTCTAAGAATAAAATTTATGCGAAACATAGGCAAAATTAACATGTCTTAGAATTTGCTCATCTATCTCAAAAACGGTTCGTTTTCTCGAAAAGAATAAGGAAGCAAAAAAGCCTCTAAATTGAACGATCCACACAATTTGATCAGTGAAAGATGCCAGAGGCGTACGACGAAAAATTTTGGGGGGGATAAAGAAGCCTCTAGCCACGAAAACCTTCCACCCTGTAGATTTTGAAGATCTTCAAATAGCTTGAAATGATGATCTTCTAGGAAGTATTGACCACATCGAATTTCAAAATGAAATCTCAAGAAGTAAGCGAGATATTTCAATTAATAGAACAAAATTATTGAACTTTGACCCCCCCTGTAGCTCCGCTTCTGGACGAGATTGGACTAATGTTTATATGATTTTATCCGATTGAAATGATGAGATCTATCTCCCATTACAGTTTGTGCCTCACAACCTGAATCACCCTGTATACACCTCAGGATAGAATGCTATTTTTCCCTCGGTGCTTTGTATCTCTCGGGCTTCGCCCTTGAGCTACAAATCGCACCTTGGAAAAAATCTTGCATTTCTGTCCCTTGATGTATAATGTACTATTTTCGTCGACCTCAACAAAAAATCACATTTTGCGTTCTAATTTCCGATAGAAAAACCGAATATTTCCGAAGGCAAGTACTTTTCGCCCGCATTAGTGTCTGCGGGAGAAATTAAATCGAGAATTCTCTAAAAATTCACATGAACCGTTTTAGCAATCCGGAAAGACACCCTGTACACGAGTCTCGTGCAAATAAACAAACAAAAAACTAAAAATAAAAGTCACATAATCATCACATCCGTGCTAGGTAGATATGCATCTAAAAATACTAAATAATCTACCTTGATTGTAGTACCCGACCATATCGTCAGAGTAAATACCTTCACCTCCCAATAATTGAACCAGCTGACAGTTGACACGCTCTAATTAACACATAATTATCACTCGCCGACGTCTGTCACTCTATTATATACGAGTCGCAGACACAGTGCACGCGTCCATCTACCGTCGCGACGCCTTTTGTCCCGACGCACGGCCGACTGTGATGATGCTCGACGCTATAGGAAGAAAAGTTGAGCATCGCGAGCGTCGGCGTATGGTCGAAGTTTCGATTTTTGTTTTTTTCGCAAAAGTAGGACATTCGTTTTGTCGAGCAGTGTATTACGAGTATTTGTGGCTACAAGGCGTCTCAAACTAGGTGTTGCAGACAGGGTACACAGTAAAAAACGCTTTGTGTTGAATTCAACATCAACATTGAGCTCATCAAATATCTGGAGAGCTCGGGGATCATCAATAATAGACAATACGGCTTTCGCCACCGAAGATCTACTGGAGATCTACTTGCCTACGTCACCCATTTATGGCAAGCTTCATTAGAAAAACACGGGGAATCTCTAGCTGTCGCTTTGAACATATCGAAAGCATTTGACCGTGTTTGGCACGAAGGACTCCTCCACAAACTACCATCATACGGCTTACCACCTCAGCTATGCCATCTCTTATCGAGTTTTCTTTCAGGCAGATCGCTTCACGTGGTGGTGGACGGTGTATCGTCTGATACAATTGGCATCAATTCCGGCGTTCCACAAGGATCAATTTTGGCACCAACATTATTCCTTCTTCATATCAATGATCTGTTGGGAGTAACAACTTGCCCCATCCACAGCTTTGCAGATGATAGTACCCTCCATACAGCGTTCTCTTCCAGAATTCCTATTTCTTCTCAGGAAACTAAGAACACACGGCGCAGGCAGGTCAATGCTGTCAATGAAGACCTTGCTGAAATCACAGCCTGGAGAACCAACAACCTGTTGAATTCAACGCCACCAAAACTCAAGCATGTATTTTCTCTAGAAAGGCGGAACTCAGTATGCCCGACATTGTAATGTCTGGCACCACCATCCCCACCAAGCCCACCATATCTATGCTCGGTATTTCCATCAGTAACACTCTTTCATGGGATAATCATGTCAGATCCATCGCAAAAGCCGCTTCACAAAAACTCGGATTCTTGTTCCGTGCGAAATGCTACTTTACACCTCAACAGCTCCTCATGATCTACAAAGCGCAGATACGGCCTGTTCTAGAATACTGTTCCCACATATCGGGTTCAGCACCGAAACATACGCTGATGCTCTTAGATTCCATCCAGAGAAGAGCCATTCGCCTGGTGGGTGACGCCACACTCACTCGCTCTTTGACATCATTAGAACACCGTAGAAAGGTCGGCGACCTTTCACTTTTCTATCGATACTTCCACGGGAAATGTTCTTCGGAAATCTCTGCTATCATCCCTTCACTAGCAATACCATTCAGACGAACTAGACAAGCCCAGTCAGTACATCCCTTCGTTGTCAACCTCGAACGATGCCGAACAGCACTTTATCAAAACTCCTTCATCCATAGAACGGCTGGGCTCTGGAATTCATTGCCTGAGGAAGTATTCCCAACAACATATAATCTCCAGAAGTTCAAAAAAAATTCCAATACCTACCTCCTATCCCTATCCTCCCTAGGAACGCACGATGTTCTTTGAACATTATAGGGATTCCCTCTCGTGCGCTTCAAGCGATAAAAAAAAAATTCGCAGAGTATGTTTCCAGAGTTGAAATACTCTGATACTGCAATCAGTGCAATCAACTCTATAACTACACTTCTTGCAGATTATCTCCTAAAAAATTGATTCTAGATTGAAGTTCTACTAATCCTGTATTGAATGGGCTTACATCACAAAACATTTTTATTTCATAATTCGATAGAACTCACCCAAACTAGCTCACCACCGCAAACCGTTTCTTGCTGTGAGCTCCCTACGTTTTATAAAAAAATTATTGAAATCCCCGATTTTTCGGACCTCTGAAAACGAGGCGATGATGTGACGTCAAAACACTAATACTGAAACAAGAGTATTCCAGACAGAGATGAATGATACATGATTTCTGACAGAGTGAATTAGCGCGAGATCACAGTTGAAAGAATTAATATATCAGTTGCCTCAGTCTCCGTCGGGCGTTTGGTATTATAAATATATTATAAAATGGCCGGCTCGTTCGCCAGACTTGACCCCCCTAGACTTTTTCTTGTGGGGGTATCTAAAATCAGAGGTCTATTCTACTCAACCATTTGCAAAATCGAATTTTGAGGTTTTGTCAAGGTATAACACCGAGAATGTTGGAGAACGTTACAAGAAATCATGTAATGAAAAATTTTGAAATGTGCCTTGCAGCAAACGGAAGGCAATTCGAACATCTATATTGAAATCATATTGAGTCAAGTCAGTTTTTTCGTGATGGGACTGTTTTTTTAGTAGTTAAGTACAGTTGAATAAATAGTTTACTGCATTTTTTTTATTTGCATTTGCTGATGATGAAATTCACATCTCTCTTTCACAACTATTGACCATAAGCAATCAAACCACCAATGGGATATAAAATCATACATATTGTAGGGTGCACTATTCGAAAAATTGATGTGAAGAAAGTTTGAATTTCGTGAAAATCATATAATATTTCTGACCACCCTGTATAACTTTCGAAGAAGATGAGTATTTCATATGATAGAATTTGCCACCGACTACCAACAGTCTTAAATGATTGCATAAATTCTTAGTAGTATGAATAATGGGTTTGTCTATAAAAAAAATGTCTGAATTTCATGAAATACTGGTATAACTTGGCAACGCTTTGTCGGATTTTCAAAAATGAAAAACTGATAATTAGCCTGAAGGAATGAGAATTCAGATATGTTGAAATATATGGGGTGTCGCATTTGAAAAAATTGATGTTCGATTTTGTGAGCCTTTCTTGCGCCCCTCGTATAAAGTTATCATAGGAATGGTGGAGGAGCCAAGTTACTCTTTTATTTTTTTTTCTGAAGTGAAATTTGATCTTACGAAAAAGAAAAAAAATAAGTATACTCGAGTATACATTAATTTTTCTGCAACCGACACAAAAGTCGTCCATTTTGATACCAAAATTAGCTCTTAAATTGACGTTTCAATTACTGACACAAAAATAGGTATGTTGCTAGGCAACATATTTAGTTCCTAGGAGCTAAAGTTGAATTTTAGTGCCTAGGAGCTAAAGTTGAACTTTAGCTCCTAGGAACTAAAAAGGATGTACTGGACGTCATCAAGAATAAACAACATTGTGACGGTTGGTTATTTGGTTTGAGACGCATACCTGATTTGTTTCCGATTTCAGCAGATTTGGCATTTCATACCCATGCTGGAGATATAAATACACCTTATTATAGTTTAGTATTGGAATTATGAACATCTCAGCTGAGTATTTTTGTTTGATCAGGGAAGCCTTCAAGATTCTAATACTTGCTTGATCTGTATTTCATTCGTTATTCTCGGGATGGATAACTTGTTTTTGAATAATCACGGCAAGCAATAGTTTGTTGTCTCAAACAACGTTATTGTTTAGCTTCATTCGATTATCGAGTCAAACACAGTGTAGTATGGAGAGGACTAAATAATCACTATTATCATTGTTGAAATGCTCGCTAACCTAACATTTTCCACGTCTTGTTCCTATATAGCTGGTACTGGCGCGGTATTTGCCATTAGAGCACCTGGTCCACAAACAAATATGTCACTCTGTGGTTGTATTTATATTGAAACTACAATTTGAACATCCTAGAAAACCTAACCTGCTGTTAATGCAGGTAGAATATTCTCACCACATGGATTATTTGTCAATATTTGTTGCATTGCATACATATGGCACAGCATTGGTGGTTACTTCACATGTTTATTTGAGTTAATTGTTTCGGTTGCAGAAAAAATAGCATGTTTCATTCGGATCAAAAGTGACTTTGTTCGACTCGCAAATTTTGCTCTCGCTCGGCTTCGCTAAACGCTCCGCCTCGCAAATGCAAAATTCGCTTGTCAAACAAAGTGTCACTTTTGATCCTAATAAAACAATCTACTATTTTTACAAATTTCAAAGTGAGATAAGAACCTCAATATAGCAAACTTCAACATTGAGGTGGCAGGAGTTAATTTTATTACAGTAGATAAAAAAATGAACCAAGCTTTATCAAATAAAACATTGAAAAATGTCACTGGCTCCCAGGCTATTAGTTCGACTGCCACTGCATGAGATTCATGAGAAAATTCTGTCAAATTTGACGCGTATTTCATTCATTAATGTTTGAATATCACAATTCGACCAGTTCCAGCATCATGTCTATAAGACAAATGTACCAGAACGAGGTGATCATCCTGGATAGAGGTGCCTACACGACATGCGCAGTGAATCTCTACGGGGCACTGATCACCTCCTGGAGGATCCAGAATAAGGAGCACATTTTCCTGAGCAGGCAATCCAAATTGTACTACATGTCTAGGGCCAGAGGGGGGATAGGTGTGGCTTTCCCGAAATATGGCAAATGGGAGTTTGGTAAGATGCACGGGTTCGCTAGGTCAGTTCCAAAATCCAAAAATTACCCTAGTTATTCATTATACGCTTTGCGTCGGGTGACACAACCTGTGGAGTTCATTAATTTTTTTTTATTATATAGCTTTGAAAAAACTTAAAATAAGTATAACGGACAGAGAGGCATGGAAGGAAGGACCTCCTATCAATGCAGACATTGCTGTCTATACGGACGGCTCCAAAACTGAGGAAGGATCAGGAGCTGGTATTTATGGGGCCAAGCCAAAGACAAGAATCTCACTGAGCTTAGGCAAATACGCGACGGTGTTTCAGGCAGAAATTATTGCAATACATCATTGCGTGAAAGAATTGATAAGGCAAGAGTTTAAAGGCAAAACCATTGCAATCTATTCAGATAGCCAGGCGGCAATCAAAGCAGTCAACTCTATGCAAGTTAACTCAAAACTAGTATGGGACTGCTTAGAAACCCTAAATGCACTGGGCAGTCAGAACAGATTGACTCTAGCATGGGTACCAGCACATACAGGGTACGAGGGCAATGAAGAGGCATACTCACTTGCCCGAGCAGGAGCAAACAAAGCTCTTAATGGCCCAGAACCCTTCTGTGGTATTACGAAAGCTATACAAAAGACTAGTATCAAATCATGGATGCAAACCAAATCTCAAGAATGGTGGAACAACTCGCCAGGAATGAGACAGGCTAAAGAGTTTATTAAAAAACCATCGCCAACATTCACAGAATATCTACTAAGCCAGAAACGAAGTTCAACTAGAATACTAGTGGGACTTCTCACAGGGCATTGTAGGCTCAACAAACACATGAGTACGATAGGTCTGACTGAAGAACTGCTGTGCAGGTTCTGTGAAGAAGAGGAAGAAACAGCAGTACACATACCTACTTTGCCACTGGTGAGGGCTTGTCAAGACTAAGGTTCCTTACGCTGGGTGAGGAAAAACCAGGAGCCCAGAGATACACAGGAGATCTGAAAGCTAGCCTATCGAGTCTCATAGAGAAGGCGGGGCTAGCCGTAGAACTCTAATCGATTTTGAGGGCAGACACAATAGATCTGAAGAGGTCGCAGTGTGGAGGCAGATAGCCCGAAGGCCCCATTCCAAATCTAATATAATCTACATTCATTTTTTCTGTGACGAGGAAAAACAAGGGTAAAAGTGAAATACCTACCTGTACAAACCTATGGTGAAACGGCACTTATCATGTGATGTTTTTTTTTTGAAATTGTTTTTGGTACCTACCTACTTACGTATTTTTGTCTGGAAAACACGAATTTGATAATGACAATGTGAACAAACCATTATTTATCAAGATGTTTCAAGAAAAAGTTCGAAATTTCGGCTTCTTTTTCCCCCAGTGTTGGATACATTTACAGCTACTTGCTCTCCTTATTTTGTCATTGGATACTTTATACAGAGGTTTCCCAAAAGAACCGGAACGGTCGAATATTTCAGCAACGACTTGACATTAAAATATGAAAGTTGAGGGATCTATAGGAAAAACTGTAAATCTGGCAACGTTGCAAATGTTATTTTCAGATCCGGCACGTCTGATAACCCCCGTATACCAAATTTCATATTTTTATGTCAAGTCGTTGCCTAAATATTCGATCGTTCCGGTTCATTTGGGAAACCCTGTATACCCATGATGTACTTCAATGACACACTTTCACAAAGAAAATTCAACATGAAATATGATTTTTTTATTATGTGCATATCTTTATATGAAGGAAAATGCAAATTCTCTACTTCAGAAGATTTTGTTTTCAAATTCTCATCGTGTATGTTCAATAGATGTAATAAGATCAAAACTTGCTGAATGTCCTAACGGGTCTCGTTCATTTTGGTCCTTCGCCAAAGATGTAGGAAGAAACTTCACTTCCAGCTCGTTTCCTCCTCTAACACCTGTTCTCTGCAAGTTGTTCAACTACTCTTACAAATTGGGGTAATTCCCGTCCAACTGGAAAATTGCAAGAGTACAGCCAGTTTCTAAAAAAGGCAAAAAGACCCTACCTAGTAACTACAGACCGAACGCACTGCTATCTATTATTTCAAAGATCATGAAGAAAGCTATCAACATCAAGCTCATGAAATACCTGGAACATTCTGGTATTATCAACGATAGACAATATGGCTTCCGTCATCAGAGATCAACTGATGACCTGCTCGCTTATGTCTCACATATATGGCAGCAATCTATTGAGAAATATGGTGAAACCTTAGCTGTAGCACTTGATATATCCAAGGCATTCGATCGAGTCTGGCACCACGGACTCCTCGCCAAGCTTCGATCTTATGGCTTGCCTCCTCAGCTATGTTCTCTGCTAGCTAGTTTTCTCTCAAATAGGTCTCTTTATTTAGTGGTCGACGGAGTTTCATCTGACTCTCTTATCATAAATGCTGGTGTTCCGCAAGCATCAATTCTAGCACCAACACTATTTCTACTCCATATCAACGATTTGTTGGAAGCAACTTCATGTCCAGTACACAGCTTGGCGGATGATAGTACCCTCCATACCGCCTTCTCTTCCAGGGCTCCAATTCCAGCCAGACAAATCAGACAACATTAATTTGGACTTGGCAACAATTCTCGAATGGGGATCCAATAACTTGGTAGATTTCAATGCAAACAAAACACAAGCATGCCTTTTCTCTAGGAAATCCGATCTCACTGTGCCCAACATAAGCTTGTCAGGAGTAACCATACCTTTGAAGACACCCATTTCGATGCTTGGTATTACTATCAGCAATAACCTTTCTTGGGAAAAATCACGTGAGATCAATTGCTAAAAGTGCACCCCAAAAACTTGGTTTTCTATTCCGGGCCAGGAGCTATTTCACTTCCAGTCAGCTGCTTATGATCTATAAGGCACAGATCCGACCTGTTCTGGAATACAGAACATGAAAAAACATTCAAAGTACCTTCCATTAGTTATTTGAATATTCGTAAGAGAGCGTACCGCTTATTTTTAATCGCCTATATCTCGATTTTTTTCCATATCCCAGAGACTTGAAATGGAGCGTAGAAATGCCCCCCAAAAGGATGGAAAACGGCGATATCTGCGCAGTTTTCAGTCTCCAAAATGACGAGTACACCAAAAGCCTGTGGGCCTACAAATTCAAACTCCTCTACAAAATCACCCTGAAAGAAATGGAACTAGTGACACATTTCACCGTGATAAACACCTGCCAACATTTCACGATGGAATTCGAAATCGTGCAACACTGTCTGTTCAAGGTGAGCAAAATTAAATTCATTTTCGTAATCCCATTTGAGGGAATATAATGCCGACTTGATTTTTGATTGGCTAGGCTACGCTTAGTCGGCGGTCTTAGGACTGCTGGATTGCACTGATGAGAGTCAAAGAGCTCGAAACCGGTCTGTAGATGCCTAGCGTGGCCAGGATAAATCGAAATCAATAGGCATTCAGGAAAGAATCACTAGTATCATTATTCGTTTATACGAGTCGATGCATAGATTTCGGGAGGATGCAATTCAATGTTCAGCGTGGCATCAGCCAGGAAAGTAGTTGTTTTTCTCTCGCTTTTATTGAAAAGATAATGTTAACAGTATCCACCCGTTAAGATTGTTTAACGGCCGACGGCCATAACAACACGATGTCGCGATTTTCCTGTAGAATTACGAGGTACATGGTTTGTTCTTTCCTTGGATAACAATGTTCAATATCATCTGTTAATTGATACATTTAGGTTTTTGTAACGTTAATAAATATAACAAATCGAGAGAACATAAAAAGAATGAGTGAAAATAAAAAATCGGATATATCAGAAATATAAACGTGACAACGCTGTCTGTTCAAGGTGAGCGACGTTGCCAAGTGCAAAGTGGTCGGTTTGAAGGATTGCAGTTTGGTGGACAGGGTCGAAGCATGCCAAAAGGCATATCCGAAAGAAGACAGAGAGGAAGTCGATGTTCTCACGAAGACAGACAGGTTGTACAAAGATACTCCAGACGTGATTTATATCACCAATGGAGAAGGAGAAGAGGTGATCAAAATAACGAAGAGTAACCTGCCGGATTTCAATTTGTGGAATCCTTGGATAGAGCAAGCGAAAGAATTGCGGGATTTAGGTATGTAAATAACAAGACAATCCAATATATCAAAAATTTCAAAAATATTGAGAAAATATCGGAAAAATCTCGAAAGAATTAAAAAAATATCAATAATATTGGACAAATATCTCAAACAATTCAACCTCATCCGTCATTTGATACATAAAGGCCTTGTACCGTTCATAACTATAGCTATTTCACTTCCAGTCAGCTGCTTATGATCTATAAGGCACAGATCCGACCTGTCCTGGAATACTGTTTCCATATTTGGAGTGCAGCACCCAAACATACCCTGAAACTGTTGGATTCTGTCTAAAAAAGGTCAGTTCGTCTTGTGGGTGATGCCTCGCTTACAAACTCACTCACTTCTCTGGAACACCGTAGAAAAGTAGCCGATCTGGCTTCATTTTATAGATATTTTCATAGACGATGCTCTTCTGAAATATCAACAATTGTTCCTCCCTTGGCAGTCCCAGCGAGATTAACTCGTCGAGTTGAGGCTTCGCACCTCTTCGTGGTCACTTTGGAGACCTGCAGAACATCTCTTTCCAGAGACTTGTACATCCAACGTACAACGAGGCTCTGGAGCACATTGCCAATGAAGGTGTTCCTGAGGCATATAACCTCCAGAAATTTAAGAAAAACACCAATTCCTACCTTATTTCCCTTGGTTCTCACGATGTTCTCTGAACATTACAGGATATCTCTTTTCGTGGGAACCAGAACATAAAAAAAAACTTTTGGTTACTTTTTGGTGGTGTGTTGATTTTTTGGGGAAGTGTATATGAAGAATTGTAAAAAATATATAAAATTTGGAATGTATCGAGAATATCAAACATATCTAAATTATCAAAATATCAGAAATATCGAAAATACCGGAAATATCGAAACTCGAAAATACCGAAAATATCAAAAATATCGAAAATATCGAAAATATCGAAATTATCTAAATATCTAAAATATCGAAAATATCGAAAGTGCCGTAACTATCGAAAATATGGAAATTATCGAAAATATCGAGAATATCGAAAATATTGAAAATAATAGAAATATGAAAAATATCAAAAAATATGAAAAGATACATTTTTTTCTAGGTGATGATGAATATCAATATTTCCTCTCAACTGACTGCGGTGTGATAGCAAAACAAATCTCTTTGGGTCCAAATTGTAGCTGGAGTTCCATGATCACTTACGAGATCATCGAACCACAAGAAGAAGAGGCGATAGTTGGCCATTTTTACGATTATTTTGACAGCTACTGTTGAAGATGACAATGGTCTTGACGAAACATTGAATAGAGATTGAAATTAAGGCGTACGAGGATTTTTGATTATTATTGTTATATTATAATTATGAACAATAATTATGATCCTTGAGATAATAAAAACAAATCATAATCGAGATGTATTTCAAAAAAACGAAGAATTTCAAGTTCTTGAACTCGGGATACGATTGGAAGTATGTAACCTCTGAACTAGAGGATGAAAATGAAAAGTATTTGGAAATATTTAAAATATCAAAAATATCGATATGAGAAAAAAAAACATTATTTGTATCTTCTATATTGCCAGGTAGTTTATTGAATTCAGTTGAGGCTGAATGAGTGAATTTTTTTTTTGTCCGATTATGGAGCTAGCGGCGTCAAGATGAAACAAGTTATATTGTCTAGTTTCATGATTATGAATTTCAGAATTCCGTATCAAAATAATATTCGACTTCAATTTTTTATTTATGATATTTTAAGAGTTTCAATTCTATATATTTCATCTAAAGAATACGTATTTGTTATTTCATACAATTGATTGGTTGGTGTATCAAATGGGAGACGATACAATACTTTTAACGATTTTCTATATAATGTTGATATTTTATTGAAATTGTTTTTTGAACAAGTTCCCCAAACATTTATTAAATAGTTGATACGACTCAGTATTTGAGAGTAGAGAATCATGTTTACAATTTTAATATCAAGTTTGGGACATCTCAATGCACCAATAATTGGAGATATTTTTTTTGTCAGAACATCAATATGTTTGTCCCACTTCAACCTGTCATCAAACCAAATACCAAGATATTTTATCTGGTCAGTTTGAATAAACTGCATTATTATTATTATTATTTTCATTATTATTATAAAAGATATCGAAAATATCAAAAGTGATATCGAAACATAAAAGATATCAGAAATTTCAAATATATTGAAAAATACAGAGAGAATGAAGAAAATACCGAAATTTTTTAACAACTGATTCATCAGACAAGGAATACTTGTGACACTTTGTATACTACATGTTTCGAGTCTCGAAAATACCATTTTATCAGTCACTATCTGGAATCGATTTAGCTCAAAGGAGATTGTTTTAAACATGACATAATATCACGTTATAAATAATGCTAATTAAATTACGATACCTCTGCGAATTTACATAAAGTGTTCAAATTTAGAATATCATGTGGGTACCTATCTAAATAACAGTAGTGAACCTGATTACTCATTCGTCATTCATGTTTCATTCATTGGGCGTCAAGATATTATACAGTGGGAAAGTTTTACATGCACCGTTTTATTATTTATTTATACAGGGCGAGTCATGAGAAACTGTACATACTCCTACCACGAATAGGGGCTCTTGAGGGGAATGTTCTTCGATTAGTCTGTTTTTTTTTATGGGATATTCCTCAACTGAACCCTAATCGACTGACATTTCCAGAATCGAAAAAATCCAGGACCGTTTTCGAAAAATTTCGATAGTTCAGTTTTTATCAAAAAGTTCATCCTGTAAATGGTTTTTGTAAACTGTGACAGGGAGTTTTCAAAGCACACAAACAAGCATCAAAAATAAACTATTCAGAATTCTCCTCACACTCTTCTAAAAAAAAAAGTAGGCCGATAGTCATTTTTTTTATTTGATGGTGAATTATGCATTTGTCTTTAAAAAAAACATAGAGGTGCACATTTTTTCAACGCCTTCTTGATGGTGAAATAACTCGAACCATGATTTATTCTCAATTTTTGACTCACGCTGTGTGTTAATTGAGTAATGGCATAGAAAGTGCTTACAGCCTATACGAAGGAGGCTTCTTTTGCGAGCATTTTGTTTTTTTATTCATTGATTTATCTCTAAAATTTTCCGAATTACAGCTTTGATTTCCAAATAGATACATTTAGTTGCCAAGATTTTTGTTTTTTCATAAAATTCATAGTTTTTTTCAATCTGAAGTGAAAGTGTGAGGAAAATTTGAAATATTTCATTCCTGATGTTCGTTTGTGTCCTTAGAAAATTCCCTGTCACATTTTACAAAAACGATATACAGGATGAACTTCTTGCAATTAACTCTATCAAAATTGTTCAAGAACGGTCCTGGATTTTTCCAATTCTGAATAAGTCAGTCGATTAGAGAGTAGTAACGGAATATTCCATACAAATATCAGACGAATATAAGAAGCTGTTCGAAAGTTATGACCAAATGATGTTTATGCCAAATCTCATAATTATTCATTCCTATATATCGGAAAAAAAGTGAAGAAGACACTTTCTCACTTTGCCTCTATTCGTGGTAGGAGTATGTACAGTTCCTCATGGTCATGACTCACCCTGTATGCACCGTTTTATTATTTATTTATATCACTATACATATAATATTGTGTGAGCAAGCCTATTTATTTTTACACAATGGTTAATGTCTATTATGGTAGCTGAGTCAAAATGTTGAAACTATAAATAAATAATACAAATTATGTTTGTTTGAGGTGGATAATATAGTGCGGTAAAATTGCGAGAAAATATATGACTCAGAATTCTTGTTTGCTGATAATTTATCATACTCTTGGTAATTGAACGCATTTTGACGAAAAACCCAAGTGGTTACGATTAAGTAACCTCAAACTCAATTGACCTTCGAGTCAAGATTTTTTTGAATCCTTCGTAATTGATAAACCACAATTCCTATTTATTATGATGTTGATTATCATTCTTCATTTTCATGCTAGTTTTTCATGATCATGAATGTGAGAAACTAATGTAGAATCCTAAGAGGAACTTTTTTTTCTAATGTAGAATTTATTTTCTACGTGTAGAACTTCGAAATTATCATCAAAACTATGGTTTTCTTCTAATATATAGTTGGTGTATGTTGAATTTGTTTTCTTTAAAAAAAAAAACATCTTTTTTCTGTGACGGGAAAAAAGTTTGGCATTTCATCTCTGTTGGCAGGTTATAAAATGTCACTTTTCATAAATTACTTTTTTTCCGTGAGAAAAAAGTGGGTACTTTTTTCCCAGATATACAGAGTGGGCCTTTGAAAACGAAACAGAGGCTCTGTAGGTCGCCAAAACCGGATTATCAAAAAAAACTGAAACAGGTCAACTACATTTTCGAGGGGGACATCTTTTTAAAATATTTCCAGCACTGCGGCGTTGCCGCTTCTAAAGAAAAGAAGCAACAACTTTGTTATTTCAAATGGAACACCTTGTATTTTATTGCATTTTTAGATTCTCCCCGAGGAGCTGAGTGCATCACACTTAGGGTCTAGCTGTAATGGTTTCAGGGATATAAAGTGTTCAAAATCGAGATTTTTCAACTTTGACATTTTTTTGTGTCGAAACTATTCATTATTGGTCGAAACGGCTCTCATGTCCCCATCTCAACTTGTGATTTACTATCTACTGACATTTAACTGGAACAGATACAGGGTGATCAGAATTCTGAATCTTGAACCACCCTGTATTTGTTTCAAATAAATGTCAGTAGATAGTAAATCACAAGTTGAGATCGGGACATGAGAGCCGTTTTGACCAATAATGAATAGTTTCGACACAAAAAAATGTTAAAATTGAAAAATCTCGATTTTGAACACTTTATATCCCTGAAACCATTACAGCTAGACCCTAAGTGTGATGCATTGATGAAATCAGCTCTTCGGGGAGAATCTAAAAATGCAATAAAATACAAGGTGTTCCATTTAAAATAACAAAGTTGTTGCTTCTTTTCTTTAGAAGCGGCAACGCCGCAGGGCTGAAAATATTTTAGAAAGATGTCCCCCTCGAAAATGTAGTTGACCTGTTTGAGTTTTTTTTGATAATCCGGTTTTGGCGACCTACAGAGCCTCTGTTTCGTTTTCAAAGGCCCACTCTGTATATCGCATATAGATACACTGTTGATGGCTTTTGTTGTGCTATAGTTTCGAAAAATGTGTCAATAAAACCGTCTCCGAGAAAGAACTGCAAGTCCTTTTATCTTCCATTCGACTTCGCGGTTACGTATATTGCTAAATAACCATTGAATTCGCAATTTCTTGAAATAAAATCACAAAATTAGACTGACAGAAGTGACATCAGATATTTGATTACTTCAAAAGAATGATAAAGATGCTTACAACGCAGGTGTCCCTACTGTTAAAAACTTAAAATTCCGCGTCGATAATTTTCAGATTCCAAAATAATGTAATATCTTCTCAATATTGATTCGTCCTTTCTTCCGTCACCGAAAAAAATAGTGTATTATACACGAGAAAAATATTAGATTTCAGCTCCGGAAGACAACACATCCTGGAGCTAAAATCTACTAGTTTTTTCCCTTGTATAATAAATAACTATATTTGTACATGAATTCGCTGATTAAACGTAGGTTAAAGAAGGATATATAAGCAAGCCAAGGTTAGTTTAGTTCATCGTACCAGTATATCACCTGACGAAGCTACTGTGTTAGCGAATCATGTCGTGTGTTTGAAAATTTTTGTGGAAATCTTATCGTTTGTGAAGTTTCAACAGCTAAAAGGAACAGTCAAAACAGTCGATCGAAAAAAAAATTGATTAGGTAGGTACCTATATAAAAAATAATGTAAACATTTCAAATGAATTCAGATAACATCGAGATTATATCAGAGAATATTGAAAGATAGACATGTTTTTGTGTGCGGCTCAAGATTTCATCAAAATGCAAATCTCGAAGGTATTCAAGGTCATTTATATATAATGTATCAAAAAAATGGAAAAATGGATCAGATTTTAGTTCGATCTTTCCCCAAACTCAAATTTTAATTTTCAAATCAAAACTGGTAGTGTGTAAAATGATATGTAACACAAATATTAGAAATAAAATAAACACACTATAAGTTCTAGATTTGATACACACCCACCATACCAAGTATTTGACCTAACGAATCACTTCAAGCTGTATATACAGAGCGTAAAGAGAGTGTGTTCCAATTATAAATCCTACGGATAAATAAACTGATCAGTTTTAAATACATAAACTGGTATGCGTAATGCTTAATTATTCAATATGGAGGGTCATTGGCTCCATTCGATGTTGGTTCTGCACTAAACACATCCAGACTTTTTGAATAGTTGTCTGCACTTTGACTATCGATGTAAACCGAAAACATTTGAATATATTCAACGTCCAACTATCTCAGATTGGCAGAGACATTTGAAACAATCCAAATTCTACCATCTTTCCCAAATGATACATGATCACCATTTTTTTTTTTGTACAATTAGGTGTGTATGCTAAATATGCATTTCAATTCCACTTGTCGAGATAGATACACCCTGTATAGTTTCAGATGTGCTGACATGAAAAAATGCACTAAGATAAGAAATGTTCTAGTAATGACATAAAATTATTATTAAGTATAGTTTTGTGTTACAATCTCCTGAGACTAATGAGGAAACAGAGAAGCAATGAAAAAATTCAACACAGGTACAGGGTGACACCCAAAAACTGCCCCAATAATTTGATAACTAGAATTAAAAAAAAATATAGCTCCTCAAATATCGGTATATCTTAAGATTCAGTAGATAAAATTCAATCTACAATACCAACGTCTTAATGAAGAGGAATCATACCCCCCAGATAACTAGATTTTTTCATTTGGAAGTTATTATATTATAAACAAATATAAAAAGAAACTCACTCACACTCAGTTTTTAGACCAAAGGATTGAATGAAAAATGATCTGATTGTTTTGATTCACGAATGTCATTTATTCACAAAATTATTGGAGTAGATTAATTTGTTGAATGTAATAGGCGATTTATAGAGGGTGTATAGGTATATATTTTTTTTCAGTTACAACTTCCAGATTGAAATAGGAAAGCTGACAAACAATTTCCTCTTATAGTAAAAAACACTGATGCAATTTTGTATCTCCAATAGTAACCTGCGGTAACTTCATTTGAATAACCCTGGTATGAATACTGACATTATTTTTGGTAAAACTGCATATATCATGCGATGGGTATTTTTTCGGAATTTTTTATCATACCTACGTATTTTCGTCTGAAAAACACGAATTTGATAATGAAAATGTGAGCAAACCACTATTTATTGAGATATTTCAAGAAAAAGTTCGAAATTTCGCCTTCTTTTTCCTCTTTGTTGGATGCATTTACAGATACTTGCTCTTTTCATTTTGTCATTGGACACTTTATATACTCATGATGTAGGTACTTCAATGACTCATTATTGTTTAGAAAATTCAACACGAAATATGATTTAATCAATAGTCAATCCAAATACTCTTGAATTACATTACACACGCCATTATTTTAAATGATATTCTTCCCGAGTTCTTCTTTCTTTTCACTAAATATGGATAGATCACAAGAAAATTATATTTCTAGTTGACTCAATAATAAAAAAAAATGTGTCGTACATTGTGATATATATATAAATTGTCCAATGATGAAAAAAGAGGGGCAAATTGTTTTGAATGCGATCCAGAAGATAGGCGGAGAAGAAGGTGAAATTTGTAACTTCATAGTGAAATATCTCGATAAATAATGGTTTGTTCACATTTAATTTCGTATCTCCAATAATTGTAACCTGCGGAGACTGCATTTGGATAACCCTGGGTATCTATAAATACTGACGTTATTTTAAGTGTAAATTTCGTAAAAGAAAATATCGAGGAAAATATATAAATTTATTATTTAGTCAATTTAGCTAACTTACATTTTCAAGTCATCGCAATGAAAACAATTCAATCAATATATACAGGGTTGGGCAAAAGTATGGAACCAGGTGAACTTCTCGGTATCCGTTTGTAGGATTTTCTTGAATATATGTACAGGGTGATTTCAAAACGTGGTGGAATTGAAAATGTTATCGTCGATGTTGCCACTTTTTCATTTATTCCGGAATTATCATTAACTTCCTTATTTAAAATAGAACACCCTGTATATTATTAAATTGACAGATTTTCCCTGGGAAGCTGGTTACATTGATTCATCTTACTTGGGGTCTAGCAAGAATGATTACTGAGATATAGGGTGTTCAAAATCGAGATTTTTCAACTTAAGGATTTTTTTGTGTCGAAACTATTCATTATTGGTCAAAACGGTTTACATGTCCTTACGTCAACTTTCAATTCACTATCTACCGACATTTAATTCAAACAAATACAGGGTGGTTCAAGATTCAGAAATCTGATCACCCTGTATATGTTCTTATTAAATACCAATAGATAGTAGATCAAAAGTTAAGATAGGGTCATGAAAGCCGTTTGGGTCGATAATAAATAGTTTCGACACAAAAAAATCCTAAAGTTGAAAAATCTTGATTTTGAACACCCTATATCTCAGTAATCATCCTTGCTAGACCCCAAGTGTGATCGATCGATGAAATCAGCTGCCCAGGGAGAATCTGAGAATTTAATAAAATACAGGGTGTTCTGTTTAAAATAAGGAAGTTGATAATGATTTCGGAATAACTGAAAAAGTGGCAATATCGACGATAACATTTTCAAATCCACCACGTTTTGAAATCACCCTGTACATATATTCAAGTATATCTAACAAACGGTTACCGAGATATTCACCTGGTTCCATACTTTTGCCCAACCCTGTATACAGTGTGACCCATTTAAGATGGAAGCACCCTTATAAAACTTACATTTTTCAACCGATTGGAATGATTTTTTTTTGTTAGGTAGATATTCAAAAAGTCTATTAGGACACCAAATATCATGAATAAATCTCCATTTCCAGGGCCAACTAATCTGATTTTCTAAATCTGAATCTAAAAAAATTACTAGCGATTTTTTTAGAAAAAATCTGACTACACCACTGGATTTGTGACATTTTCAAATGGGTAACATGTAAATTACGTTGAAATGCGTCAATCAATAAAAAAGTTATGAAGGAATGAAATTTGAAAAATATGCCGTTTAATCAACCCACCAATTCATGTTCAGGAATTTTATGAAAATTCTGTATACTCCACTGGATTCAGGATGTCTTGAAATATTACTAATCACAGTTTCATCGAAATCTGTTCAGTAATAAAAATTGATGGGTTGATTGAACGGCATATTTTTCAAATTTCATTCCTTTATAACTTTTTTATTGATTGACGCATTTCGACGTAATTCACATGTTACCCATTTGAAAATGTCACAAATCCAGTGGTGTAGTCAGATTTTTTCTAAAAAAATCGCTAGTAATTTTTTTAGATTTTTGGCCTTGAAAAATCAGATTAGTTGGCCCTGGCAATGGAGATTTATTCATGATATTTGGTGTCCTAACAGACTTTTTGAATATCTACCTAACAAAAAAAAAATCATTCCAATCGGTTGAAAAATGTAAGTTTTATAAGGGTGCTTCCATCTTAAATGGGTCACACTGTATATGCACCACTTTCAATTAAAAAAAAATCTGAACATGAAACTCACTAGAATAATCCACCTTCCCAACCATTTTCACTGATTTCCAGGCACCAAAAAACAACAAATCACACGTCCCGGCGTTTTTTCATCACTAGAAAAAAAAAACCGCGCCAGATCAGAGATTATCACCGACTAATCAGCGCCTTCAATGACGAAACAAATGAAGCACGAGAGAGAGCACTATCTCGGCTAACTCGAATCCATGTGATTCACGTAAACAAACGCACATCGACTGACTTTTTTTCTTATTGAATTGAAGCAAGGAACAGGTTCACCCACACAACGTCTCGTCTCAGTAGGCCATGCCCAGCTCAAGATCAGCTCTTGCAACTTGCACAATTCACAACGTGAGAGTGGATAAAATGGAGGAAAAAAAATGCGATCCGGTTGGTGTTATTTCCCATGCGACACCAGAGAGCCCGCAGGTTTTATCTTCTGTTTGAATGTGTGGAATTGGAAACAAAACCATACAGAACTAATGTGAGTTAAGGTAGTTCTAACAGTACCGGACCACTTTTAATTTCAGTTCTCAAAAACAACTGATGGCTTGATTGATATTACACATGAAAAAAAGTTTTCAATTCATCTGCCCATCTGTGTAACTATGAATGAAAATCTCAAAAATTTCAATGATCTCAAAAAATTTCCCATTCAGGGTTGTTTTTGCAATACTATTTCTACTCCATATCAACGATTTGTTGGAATCAACTTCATGTCCAGTACACATCTTCGCGGATGATAGTACCCTCCATACCGCCTTCTCTTCCAGGGCTCCAATACCAGCCAGGCAAATCAAAAACGAACGAGGGAGAAATGATGACAAGATGAATATGGACTTGACAACAATTCTCGAATGGGGATCCAATAACTTGGTAGATTTCAATGCAAACAAAACACAAGCATGCTTTTTCTCTAGAAGAGCCGATCTCACTGTGCCCAACATAAGCTTGTCAGGAGTAACCATACCTTTGAAGACATCCATTTCGATGCTTGGTATTACTATCAGCAATAACCTTTCTTGGGAAAATCACGTGAGATCAATTGCTAAAAGTGCATCCCAAAAACTTTCAGTCAGCTGCTTATGATCTATAAGGCACAGATCCGACCTGTCCTGGAATACTGTTCCCATATTTGGAGTGCTGCACCCAATCATACCCTGAAACTGTTGGATTCTGCCCAAAAAAGGGCAAATCGTCTCGTGGGTGATGCCTCGCTCACAAACTCACTTCTCTGAAACACCGTAAAAAAGTTGGCGATCTGGCTCCATTTTATAGATATTTTCATGGACGATGCTTTTTTACACATTGCCAAGGGAGGTGTTCCCCGAGGCATAAAACCTCCATAAATTTAGGAAGAAAACCAATTCCTATTTTATTTCTCTTGGTTCTCACGATGTTCCCTGAACATTACAGGATATCCCTGTTCGTGGGAACCAGAACATAAAAAAACTGACGTTCTGTGTGAAACATATTACTTTTTTATCTATTTCCTTTCCTAATATATATGAACGTTGATTTATTTGATCTATCCATTATTACTTCGTAATATGAAGAATTAATAAATGATTATTATTATTTTTATTAAAAACAAAAGCTACTCTTTCATCTTTGCCCTGTGTCGAAAGTGAGGGAGTGGTTGAACTTAGCTTCATTATATTTTGCCTTGAAGTGTGATCACTTCCTCACACAATGGTTCTTGATTTACGTCAATATTTTCTTTTTGAGAGAAAAGTTAACTGTTTAAAAAAAGTACATCAGAGAGATATGTCAGCGATGTAACAATTGTGACCTGCGACATCGCATTCTATGTCGCATTGACGTCTCTGCGATATAATAGCGATATATTTTTTACACTTTTACACCACTGACTTCTGATGACATCAAATATTGATTATGTGTTGTTGAAATTTACTAGAGTTAACTATATCATATAGAACGAAACTTTTTCTCAGTGTTACTAGCTTTTTCTAAGTATAGTCAACTAGCTGTTTGACCCGGCTTCGCACAGTTGGTGTACCCTTTTAAAAAAAATGAGACATTCATTGAAGTCAACAAACGAACAAACTAACAAACAAACAAACAAAAGACAGACAAACAAACAAAAACATCTTTCCCCTTTATGATATTAGTATAGATATAGCTATAATATCATACTTTTTTCGAATTTCCTTCCTGGGAAAATGGTGCCCAGGCGACTGAGTCCGATCCTGGCCATGGTTTAATGCATTGTTTGGCGATGCGATAAAGTGCGTTTTATTATGCAGCATGGCACATGGGAATGAATGATGTCATTGTCATTGAAAGTGTTAACACATATTAATATGTTACAATTAGAAATAGAATATTATTTTTTTCTAGAGTCCTATTACCCGCATAAATCCTCAATTTGATTGATTATCATTATTAAATTGTCAATTAAAAGTCTTGTATGGTATAGCCCACATACCAAATTGGTTGAAATGTCTTTCTGATGGATGCGATCCCATTCCTACACGTACAGGGTGATCCATATTATTTTCAATTATTGACACATAGTTTCTTGAATGCAATCACTCTCATTCATTTATCACGAGCATGTTGAGAGATCATGGATATGAATAATACTACATTATTATAATCCAGGATCTGATCTAATCGAGTATTTTCCTTGTATATGTAAAATGTCTCATAAGAGCAATGCAATTATCGGAAAATTATAGTGGTAATTGCACTGAAGAGCGAATGTCAGACCTCAAGAAGTGATCAGAAATGTCGCTTTTTGGTGAGTGCTCCAAAACATCTAGATGTCTATTTATAGCCTTTGTCAGTATTATGATATTCCTCAGAAAAAAAAACAGTATTCGAGAATTTCTTTATTCGTGAAATATTCCCATGAATTACATTCGTGCATGAAAATAACCTGATAATTTTGCATTCTTTTATACATACAAAACATTTCAAAAATCAATTCAATAGAAAACTATGCCATAAATGCAGATGACACAGTACTTTTATTTAAAAACAAAAACCCTGTAATTTTAGGAAACAACATAAATGAGGATATAAAGAAAATGGAAGAATGGCTTCATTCCAATCTTCTTTCTCTCAATTCTAATAAGAGATAATATTATAACTTTCCATCAAAGAGATAAACAAGAAATTGATTTGAATATTAGAATAAAAAATAAAAGGTTGAATCAAACAATATCTGTACTATAAAGCCTTAAAAGTACTGTGTCGTCTTCCATATATATGACACCCCATCAAATCAACTTTATGAAGAAACAAATACATTTCCTTTGGAAGAGCACTATCTGATCAATACTCTCAAACTTTTTTATGATATTATCAACAAACACCTCAAATCTAACTTCATATCGGTAAGGAATTCCCAAATTCATGAACATCATACATCATCTTGATGCTGCTAATTCCACACTTGGCCAAAAAAAGTTTACTCACGGAGCTTTCTCAAAATTCAATAAATTACCTGATGATATCAAAAAGTGCACAAATATAACCCAATTCAAAATCATAGGCAAGAAACATATCCTCATCATAATGTACTTTTTATGAGATTTTTCATTATTATTATCATCATATTTGTATATTTCAATAACTTAGATTCAATACCGCATGAATAATCTCATACCAGATATGAATCTGCTATTATACATTGTAAACCTTAATAAAATAATTTCATATTTATATGAGATGCAATGTATTGAACAGAGAATGAAATACATATTATTATTATTATTATCATTATTTCGGTTATTTTCATATTTTGGCGAAAGAGCCCGAACCCGAGTCTTGCAATTTTTAGGTAACACGCTTTGCAAAATTATCGGTAATTTTTATGCACTTGTGCAATTATAACCGAAAAGTTGAGGGATTAAGTAGAATTTCAGTCCAGTAGTTGATGTACTAATAGTGGAAAAACTCAAAATAAAATAATGAAAAAAAAAATGAATGACAGTACTCTCGTATCCGTAGCGTTACTTCAGCTCCTAAGAACTAAAATTCAACTTTAGCTAGGAACTGAATATGTTGCCTAGTAACATACCTATTTTTGTGTCAGTAATAGAAACGTCAATTTAAGAGCTAATTTTGCTATCAAAATGGACGACTTTTGTGTCGGTTGCAGAAAAAATGTTTTTTTTTTCATGAGGAATCTACAGTTTTCCCTTGTGACACTCATTTGTTAACACCCTGTATAGTTGAATCTCCCTGCTACTGAATACTGATCTATGATCTAATAATACTGATGATGAAGTCATTATATCTCTATGTAATCCAATACAAGAATGCAGTTGATAATTTTTATGTCGGTTGTTTTATTACCTCCTATTTTCAATTGTGAAGGAACATAAAACTCTAGTTTATTGCTGCATTAACCTCCACACAGGACCTTCGATAGAACGAGCAAAAATTGCAACGGCTGTCACAACATAATATACAAGGTGTTCCACATTTATCTGACTAAAAAAGATAGAGACCGATTGAGTCGACGCACAGAACTGTTATTTCAACAACAACGAAAGCTAATCAAGAATATTTTTGGACTTATGACAAATTGACATTTATCATACAGGACGTGGAAAATTCTGAATAGAGAAAACCTAATCTCGAATCTGCGATTGAAAGTCTATCAAAATAACAAGTTTCCATCGTTCAAGTTTGAACCCCTTGTTTGAGTGAAATTATTGAAATGGAATATTCTCAGATGAATTATGAACATGAAAAACAATTCGATCGAAAAATTAACTGGAATGTTTTTTTTACATAAATAATAGTATACCTTCTGAAAACGGACCCTCTTAAGACGTACAAACCTCATATCGATAAAGTTGAAAGAAAATAACAAACGCCTGACGGAGACTGAGGCAACTGATATATTAATTCTTTCAACTGTGATCTCGCGCTAATTCACTCTGTCAGAAATCATGTATCATTCATCTCTGTCTGGAATGGTCTTGTTTCAGTATTAGGGTTTTGACGTCACATCATCGCCTCGTTTTCAGAGGTCCGAAAAATCAGGAATTTCAATAATTTTTTATAAAACGTAGGAAGCTCACAGCAAGAAACGGTTTGCGGTGGTGAGCTAGTTTGGGTGAGTTCTATCGAATTATGAAATACATTTTTTTTGTGATATAAGCCCATTGATCATTGAACAAATTTTCATGTTCTTGACAAAATACTGGGTGTCATCTTTGGATAAAATAATAAGTAGGTATAGTGGGCGTGTATTGGAATTGAAGCATTGTATAGTTGTTTATCAATTCAGTTACTTGCTATCATAAATTATCATAATTTATTCAAGAAATGTCTATGTTAGTCACCGAGCTGAAAAAAGTTTCAATAAATCTCTTGCCATAATAGACTATTTTAAATATTAACGTTTATTAGGCCACTGAAAAAACTGATGAGTATAACAGACGTGCTTGTTTCTCAAATAAGATAATTTGT